TTGGCCATCATGACCCGCAAGTCAGGGTCATCAAATGGTAAGGTGGCCGACAGCATTGCGTAGAGAATGACGCCCATGCTCCAAATATCAGCCCGGTCCCCACGATATTGCCTGTTTTTGAGTAGTTCTGGAGCAGCGTAATGGGGGCTTCCGCAAGCCGTGGCAAGCTGATGTGTAGCGGTTTGGTGAAGCGCAGCCATACCAAAATCTGCAATCTTGATTTGCAAGTCTGCAGTGATGAGAATGTTCTCGGGCTTTAGATCACGATGGCACACATTGAAAGAATGGCAGTAAGAAATGGCACTCATCATCTGTCGGAAGAAATGGATGGAAAGGTCCTCTGGGAGTCGTCCTCTGGAGTTGATAAAGGTAAAGAGATCGCCCTGATCGATATACTCGAGAATGAGATATCTGTTTTACGTCAGCAGATGAGAACATTGACCGGCAATGTGGAGAGTGGAAAGAGAAGAAAACTGACATTTCAGAGCGGTTCTCCCATATGTCGTACAGTTTCATGATATTTGGGTGTTCGATAAGTTTAAGAATTGCCACTTCACGCTCAATTGCCATGGGAACGCGCATCTCTCCATTGATCTGGTCAGGGAGACTGTTGTCCCATTTGCTTAGAGCGGCCATGGAGCTATCTTGGACCAAGTAGGCCATCGTTCTGTTCACAATTTTGACGGCAGCAAGTTGGTTGGTGATGTTGTGTCGGCAGAGGCGTACACGAGCTGATGAGCCTTTGCCCAGCGTTCGTCCCAGCTGCCAAGGCCCAATATGCGTCTTGTAGTTCTTCTTGCTTCGACTGCTCGAGGTTGAAGCATACGAAGCTTGGGACATTCGCTTATCGGCCTCTGCAGGTTGCGGATACGGATGCTGTATTACACCAGACATTTGGGTGTTGAGAGTGATGTTTGCTGGAGCCATAGCTTGCCGGCTTTCTGGTCTCGTATGTGACGCCGGTTGGTTATGCTGGGGATGAGCCACTTCGGACTGGGCGTAACGCGGCGCCTTGTTTGACTGCTGTTCCAACACAGGGATCGGGGAGTTCATTCGGTTCGTCGTCTCGGCCAAGGGCGAGCGAACCTTGGCAACCATCGTATCCGCCATGTTGGTGTTGGTGATGTCGTAGGAATTAGCACATAATATTCGGGGTTAGCTATTTCAGTTCGTCGACGTCGTGTTTCTGGCCGTTGGCGGTGATGTTTCTTTTTTTTTCCTCCTCCCAGTCGCGCTGGCTGTTAATGATAGCAGACAATACAGGTCGAAAACGAAGTTTATGGAAGGCAACGCGGTGGAAAGTCGGAACCAGAGGGGCCAAGATCAACCCGACGAAGGCGAAGGTTAAGTGTCGGTGGCGCACACGACAGCAAAGAAAGAGAGGGAAAGAGAAGAGAAGAAAAAGGACAACTACAAAGGTCGAGGACCGTCTGGTTGGGAGGAGCAGAAAGGGCAATGGAGCCGAGTACGTAGATGAAGCAGAGCACTGGAGGACAGGACGGGGGACCAAGAATGCGACACTGTCTAGGTCATGAGCTGAAGTGGAAGTATGTACGGAGTGGCAGAGGCGTAGAGTGGAAGCGCAATCCTCTCCACCGACGTGGAAATCTGGAATGCAATGTTTACTTTGAGAAAGTGGCGGCAGGTGTTTTGGACCAGATATGCCATGGCGCAAGGGAGACGGGATGGTCAGTTGGCTGGCACTCGGCTGGCACTGGCTGGCACTGGAACTTAAGAGGTCAGACCAGGATAAGTGACTGGCATCTGTAGAAATAGCGAAGAGGTGCTGCCAGCTGTCGGCACTGAGAGAACCTGGCGGGTGGGGAAATGTTTAAGAAGCATGAGAGAACAAAAGTCGAGATCATGACGGGGATTGGCGATGGTGGCCAGGAAGGCATACTAGGCGCACCATTCTTGGCCGCATTCCAGTTGCCAGCGCCGACAAATGGAATCCCGCCAGCAAAAGTCCAGCCTTGCCGACTTGCCCGACCACTTGACTTTGCCAGCGTACTTGTTTGCCTGCTGCTGCTGCTACTTCACCACTCCGGCGGCGGCAATGAGTTGTGCAATTGGGACAGAGCAAGAAAAAAAAAGATGAAGCCAATGATGCGTCTCGTTCGGATGGCTTACTTGCTAGGCCAGGCACCTCCTTCCTACATTGTCTTGGTACCCATTATTGCCCACCGTACTGTACCTGCAATAATGGGGCCCGAAGATCCCAAGGCCGCCAAGAATTGCAATACTATTGCAGCTTGCAATTTCCTTAAACTCTCCCTGGTGACAGGAACAGATTCCAACGACCACCTTTTGCACCCAAAATAGGGTTTGGTAGCCGACGAATATCAAGTCGCCAGGGCTCGGCGGGTGATGTGTCGAATTTGGTAATATGTTTGTTTGTTTGTGCCCTCACTGGTATCAACCGTCAACAACGCAGTACCAAAAATAATGTTGCCAACTGCTACCCTTTCGACAACGAGAACGCTATGCCCCGAAGGAGCGCGGCGGGTGTGGATAGCAGTCACATTGCCGAAGGCAAATTTGAGACTGGAATTCAAGGGATGAGATGATGAGATGATGCTGCCCCAGATAAACAGCACTCGGGACAAGTCCAGTTATGACTAAGCAGCGGCTCGTGGTGGTGTGGTGGCTTTTATTTTGCCGCGCTCTCTCACTCTCTGCCAGGCTGCCTCAATCAAAGCTCTAGCATTGGGCCATTACTTGACGCTCCTTGATCCAGAATACGGACATCCTACGACCAAGAGTGTGGAGCCGTGTGCTCTGTATGTACTACATCGTACAAAAACGAACCACGAGATCCGCAAATAGAAGCCTTCGTCGAATTGGCAATCAAACGTCACACGTCCAGTTTGTGGTCTCGCGAAGTTTGGCGACACGGCCAAATGAACGCAGGTTGATAGTCCTTTTATCCATTTCGATGATGCTTCTATTTTGCCGCTGCTATGTCTTTAGCTCCATTGCTACCGTTCCTCGAGGACGGGTTGGAGGATCATGCTGAGACAATTATGTCAATACACTCAACTATCGGTTGTTAAAGCACGACTGACCCGGCGTTGGACCACCGCTTCACTGCCTGTTCGTGCTCATCGTTGGACTGAAGCCAACAGCTAAGCTAGCCTTGATGCTTGATTGATTCCCCAATACGTTTAAACCCTGTGAGCCTAGCCTGATATGCTTCTAACTCGAGCTGACGTCCTCACATGACGCAACGTTAGGCCCAATGTCTTTCCCATTCGTTGCTCCATGTCTAGACATCTGCATTAATCCATGATTTGGTAACTTGCTCCACCGTCCCAGGTTTTCGGGTCGTTCGCAATCCCCGTACCAGGTTTCGTGCTGCCCACATTCTCCAGGTTTTCAAATAACGATGATCGGGGTGATGGCGCGCTATATACTTGAATACAGAGCCGTTCTATTCGCAATTTCCTTCTTCTTCCCCCCAGTATCTTGCTCCTTGGGCACTGCAGCCAGGAATGTCGCAGTAGTGTTGGTAAAGGGATGGACGAGGCCCAGCACAAGAATTTTGACGAGTCCCCTAGTGGCTTCAAGCTTTTGTCTGGCGTTTCCCCTACCCTATAACCACACTCATCGCAGGTTAGTCCCTTGTTTGACCCCAAACTCATCGTGTGAGCACCTCCTAGGATTGGGTAGACCTCTGTAATCTTGGTATACGGTATTTGTCTAAGTTCACTATAGTTGCCAAAATGTTGTGCTTATTGTGTGTTTCCAACGCGATAAAAGGAGCGAGTTGAGTACTATGTATCTTAGGTATCCACGACCATGCTTATGCCTACCTGGGCACTTATATAAGCAGGCAACAAAGCAGTCAGACACTTACAAAGAAGGGCGGCATAATGACAAAAGAGGTACATAAAGAGGAACCATGATTTTCGAATTTAATGTGGCCATTGACCTCTAGGCCGCAACAGAGTCCAGGGAGCCGACAGTTCTGCGGAGAAAGTCACTCAAACTTGATCGAGGTTGGCTTAGCTCCGGGAACTAAATGAGGGAGCATTCTTAACTACAAATTAGACTGTAGATTCTCAACAACAAGCAAGCGTAATTGGTTTAGTGGTAAAATTCTCCGTTGCCATCCGAGCAACGTCGGGGAGCCCTGGGTTCGATTCCCAGATTACGCAAGCAACTTAGCTCTTTTTGCCTTCCACTGTGGGACGGTCTCCGGAAAGAGGGTAAACTAATACAGATTTATTTGGCAGCTTTCTGGCAGCCTTGGCTTATTTTTTTTTATACAACTTAATACTTGTGATCTTATTTGATTTCAAGAGGGAAATAATAAGTCATTTAATATAGTAGTAATACGGTTCATGGCACCGAGCGTGGTGATCCTTTTTCTGTAGCGGTCAGGGGCACTTGCTTACCGAAAAAAAGAAAAAAAAGAAAAAAAGGTGAGAGCTCTCGCGCCGTGGAAAGAATTGGATTTGGCTACGGGTTACCGCTTGTTCCGAGCAGGGCTTCAAAGTCCATTTCAAGGGCTACCCCAGATAACATACTGGCATATTAATCCTATGGCCAACTTCATTATTCTTTCAGGGCTTTTGTGACTTGGCAAGGTGCTTGTCCTCCTTAGCCTCATAAAGCTCGTGTTCCTTCTAATACTGCGTGTAGTGCTCACACTTTTTCGCCCGACGTTGCACCTCAGACGCTAGAGCTCCATTGCCATCGTTGTGAAGCCTCTCTCAGACGAAGTTGAGAAGATTCTGGCCGATTCTAACAGCCTCTCAAGTGATGTAAGAGAGAGCTTTTAGATGCCAGGGAGGTACATGTATCTACAATGGTGCTTACAGGCGAAACAGGGGTCCATCAGCCCCACTTTCCCTCCAAGCCCGCCAACACTTGGTGGGGGTGAACACCGCGTGCTCACGCGTCTCCAAAAGTCGATTTCATGAGTTTCCTGAATAGTGGCGCTTCATCGCACATCCATACGGGGCCGAACTGCAAGAATCTCTTCCCCTCGAGGCGCCATGCCGCGCCTTACGTCACGTCGCCGCAGGCGCTCTGATACAGGAGACGCAGAGGATAGCGGCGATGTCTGGAATGGCTTTGGGTCGCAAGCTTCCGATTCGTCCAAGCGGCGACGGCTTGATTCCGAATCAGACTCGGATGGAGATACTGGACCATCGGCCCCGAGTGCAGGACTGGTGAATGGCGTATCGAACGGCGACATCATGCAGGATTTTCAACCTGGTGCCATTGTGCGTGTGTCGGTTCAAAATTTCGTCACTTACGAAAAGGCAGAGTTCTTTCCGGGACCACATCTAAACATGGTCATCGGCCCCAACGGTACTGGCAAGAGCTCGCTCGTTTGCGCCATTTGTCTTGGTCTGGGCTATAGTCCGAAACACCTGGGACGCGCAGGATCCGTCAAGGAGTTTGTCAAGCACGGAAAGGACATAGCAACCATCGAGATCGAACTGCAGAAGAAGCCCAGGGACCGCAGCAACTACGTCATCAAAGTGCAGATCCGACGCGAACAAAACAGCCAAAAGTGGTGGTTGAACGGAAAAGAAACGAGCCATAAGAAAATACAGGAGCTGATGAAGTCAATGAAGATCCAGGTCGACAATTTGTGCCAGTTCCTGCCCCAGGACCGCGTCGTTGAATTCGCCGCCTGTACGCCCATTGACCTTCTCCACGAGACTCTTCGTGCTGCAGCTCCGGAAGAAATGCTCCTGTGGCAGAGCCAGCTGCAAGAAATGCACAAGGAAAAGAAGGGGTTGGCCGACGCCGTCCACTCTGATGTCGATGCACTGAGAATCTTGGAGAATCGCCAGCAAGGTCTTCAAGCAGATGTGGATAGAATCCGCGAAAGAGAAGAAATCCAAGAAAAAGTCGAGAACCTGCAGTCAGCCTTGGTCTTCGCCAACTACTCAGAAGCACGAGAAAACCACAGCAAAGCTAGAGACCGGAAGAAGGAGGCAGAACGAACCTTGCAGCGGCTAGAGTCCGAAAGCGGACCATCCCTTGAGGCTGTCAATATGAAACAAGAATATGCTCAGCAAGTACGGGCTGTAGTACCAGCCAAGGAGAGGGCCCTCAAAGATGCCGAGAATGCTGTACAGAGTGCTGCCCGCGACATCCACGGCGCGGCGGAATTGGTCAAAGAAATGAACAACAGGCTAGAGGCTGAGCGGAAAGGGTTCGAATCGAAAAAAAAGGACCTGGCCGCTTCAAGGTCGAAAATCACAGCGTTTCAGGCGGATCTCAAGAACAGGCCAACCGACTTCAACGCTGCTGATTGGAACCAGAAAATCCGTGCCGAGGAACACAACTTGAGAGAGATGGAGGGAGAGCAACGCCAGGTGTCAGCAGACAGAGATGCGACCAAAGAGCGGGTAAGGCCTATGAACGTCGACATTCGCAAAATCAAGACGGATATCGATGCTTTCGATACTCAGCAGGGTCAGCAAATGTCCCTTATGCGCAAGCAGTTCCCCGAAGCCTCAAATGGCTGGGAATGGATAAAGGAACACCAAAATGAATTTGAGAAGGAGGTATTCGGGCCTCCAATGATCAGCTGTTCCATGAAGGATGAGCGGTACGCGGACCAAGTACAGGCTCTCCTCCAAATGGACGACCTACTATGCTTTACCGCGCAGACAAAAAATGACTACAAGAAGCTTACTGACCAGCTGTATCGAGTAATGAGTTTGTCGGTTGTGGTTCGAACCTGTTCAAACCCTCTATCTGCATTCAAAGCTCCTGTTGATCGTGCTCAAATGGCCGAGCTTGGATTAGATGGATTTGCCATTGACTATCTAGATGGACCGGAGCCCGTGTTGGCGATGCTTTGCTCGGAGAAGCGACTACACATGTCGGGGGTTTCTCTCAATGACCACAATGAGCAAGCTTACGACAGGCTCATCAACAATGGCAAAATCAACCAATGGGCAGCTGGAAGACAATCATTCACGATCCGCCGTCGCAGAGAATACGGTCCCCAGGCCATGACGACGATTACTAAGAACATTCAGAAGGGACGATTTTGGACGTCGCAGCCGGTAGACATGCAAGAGAAGAGGGAAATGGAGCGACGACTAACGGAATTACAAGGCGAGAAAGGTGCACTCAAAGAAGAGCATGACAGGCTCCAACAGAAACTCGACACCATTGAGGAGCAGAAGAAAGAGATTTCTGAGAAGATTGTGGGTGTTTTACATTGAATTCTTGTCTTGCAGAACTGCCAACTGACTCGTCACACAGACCGCATTACGGAATGAGAAGAGCGCGTTGCAAAAAGAGTTCCAAAAGTGGCAGAGCCTACCCGTGAAGATAGGTATGCTACGAATGAACTACCCTGGTACAAAATAAAACCTAACAGCCTGAGAAGAATCAGAAGAGCGGCAAAAAGCCATGCACGAGGAAGCCATGAGAGACGCTAGAAAGAACATGCAGGAGATTCAGTATGAATGGGACAAGGCGGTTCTTGAACGCGCAAAGCTCGTTATAAAACACAAGAAGCTCACCGACAAGATCCGCGAAGCACACCTGGCTCTAATCGAGGCAAAAATCTGGCTCATCGAAGCGAATTCCGATGTTGAGGGCCTCAAGGAGCGCAATGCTAGTATCATGGCCCAGCTGGAGGAGGAGAGGCGGAACGTACAGGTAGCTACAGAGGAGACAAATCGCACCAAGGAAATTGGGCGCCGACTGGGCGAAGATGTTAGGGAACTCATCTCCAGGGATCCGGACAGACGCGACTTGTATACGCAACTCGCTGAAGGCAAGTCACCTCATGAAGTTGAGCTGGAAATGGCAGCCGAGGAAGCCAAGCTTGAGCTCATCCACGCCGCCAACCCGAATGTGATTCGAGAGTTTGAACGTCGCGCGGAGGAAATCACCCGACTGAAGCACAAGATGGAGGGGGCCAACGAGAAGCTCGAGACACTGAACAGGCAGCTTGCGCGGGTAATGAGCAAATGGGAGCCCAAGCTGGAAGAGCTCGTGTCCCAAATCAACGACGCCTTTGCGTACAACTTTGAGCAGATCAGCTGCGCGGGCGAGGTGCGCGTGCACAAGGAAGAGGACTTTTCACAGTGGGCTCTCGACATCATGGTCAAGTTTCGGTAAGTAGCCACGGCCCTAGCCGGTCGACTGTTGAGAGCGGACAGAGCACCTAATCAGGTTTGGCAGGGAAAACGAAGCGCTGCAGCAACTGACGGCACATCGCCAATCCGGCGGCGAACGAGCCGTGTCGACGATTTTCTATCTCATGGCGCTCCAGTCTCTGGCGCAATCGCCGTTTCGCGTGGTGGACGAGATCAACCAGGGCATGGATCCTCGCAACGAACGCATGGTTCACGAGCGCATGGTGGAGATTGCGTGCCGCGAACACACGAGCCAGTATTTTCTGATCACGCCCAAGCTGCTCACTGGGTTGCGGTACGATCCCAAGATGAGGGTGCTGTGTATCGCGAGCGGAGAGTACATGCCCAAGGAGGGGAGGAAGGTGGACTTTGCGCGATGTTTGAAGATTCAGAAGAGGCTGATGGCTGCTGGATGATTGTATTTGATTGGTATGGTGCTTAGGTAGGCAAGGGATGGGGGAGGACATGGCGTTTGGGAACGGGAAGACAATGGTATATGAATGATGAGAAGGCCGAAGGGGTGAGTATATGTAATCATGGTCAGAGCGACTTGGTGCAAGCATTGGCTTTTCAGACTCGCATGACAAGCGTGTGAGGTGTATAATGGCCGTTTGGAATATACAGTTCCTCCTTTCTTTGCAAGACTTGCCATCATTGATGGGTACGTACGTACGTTTAGATTCGTGCACTTATACTATGGTGGTCAGATGTCGTCGCAGGTCGTGGCACGATTTTCAATCTGGCCGGTGTTTATTTCCCTCCTTTGAACCTCTTTTCTAATCAGGCCCCCGTCTTCTGCGGCGCAGCAAAACAAGTAGAGACATGCACCGTGCATGCGTTTATGCAGACGCTCCTCTGACATTTTCAGCCTTTCTCCCGCGCCTTGCTTGCTCCCTGGACGGAATCCCCGCCGCCAGGTACTCGTCGTTGACGATGAGGCTACAGCCAGATAATGTGGTAGTAGTCCGTTGGGAATAAGTTGTACCTAATATAATACTTGATATAAAGCACTGGCAAAGTATTGCCCTGACCACTTAGCTGAAGTGTCTTGATTGAAAGTTGCACTTTAATAATTAGCTGTATTAATCCTATTAAATGTGCAAAGGTGCAGAGCATTTGTGATTTAATACAAATTTGCCGCATTGTCTTTGATGGGTAAACCGGAGGTTTAGTACTTCCATCGCTGGCAACTAGTACGTATAGTTAAGCCATGGTTTAATTGAGAATACAACGTTTTGTGCATAAATAAATTTGTGTACTTATAGACATTGTACTAAATTTGCATTGCGCGACGCTAGTATACAATCATCATTTTCTTACTAGAGCTTCTCGAATGTCGGTGCCTTCTTCGACATTAACGCCTTGATAGCGTCAGGAACGTCCTTTGTTTGAACCACTGCCGTATTATAAGCCAGCTGGTACTGAAGCCCTAATCAAATTATTTCACATCAGCGCTCTTTTCTATAAACGGAAGCACCGGAAGCAGGCCTGATACGTACCTTCTGCAACAGTGCGACCTCGACTGTAATCCAGGAAATGTTTGACCGCCTGCACGGCCACCGGGCTCTTTCCGCCCAGGCTTCTCGCGACCCTGAATGCTTCCACAAGAGCATCTTGCTTTGTCGGGAGGACGCTGCCCACAAATCCAACACGGTAGGCCTCATCCGCGCCGAAATTCCTGCCCGTCATGGCTACTTCCTTGACCCAGGTATACGAGCCTACGACCTTGGGTAGACGCGCCAGAATCCCAATATCAGAGGCGATGCCGAGGTCGACCTCTTTCACGCAGAAGACCGTGTCTTTGGAGCATATGCGAATATCGGCAGCCGAGCAGATGTCGGCTGTCACTCCGAGCGCAAAGCCATGCAGCACACAGATGACAGCTGGATGGATTGTATCCTGTTAGCGAAATCCTACAGTTGAGCGCTTTTTTCTCAACTGGTAAAAGCGACCGGATACTAGGTATTGCAGGAAAAGGATGCGTACGTTTCTCACACTTCTCAATACTCGTGATACAATCCTGAAACTCGATTCCGAACCGTCGAAGGGCAGCTGCTCGTCTGGCGGGGTCCGCGTACTCCTCTGGCCGCGGAACGAAGGGTGAACCTTCCTTGGCAACCCATTTAAGATCTATGCCGACGGAAAATGCTTTTTCGCCGGATCCTGAAAATACCACCGCGCGAACAGAAGGGTCTACAGAGAGACGATCAAATACAGATCGCAGTTCCAGCCATACCCTAAAATATATTAGCACAGATGTGATGAGGGGCATTGTAGGTTGTAGCCGTCTACTTGCTCTTGGGAAAGTGCGTTTAATTTGTCAGGTCGATTGATTTCAACATGAGCCACCCATGGCTCGGGAACGGTGACTCTGAAATGGGTGTAGCCGTTTTCTCCCATTTTGATGGTTCGCGCACAAGATATAAAGAGTTCTGCTGTCTGCGCGGGTGAAGAAGTAAATGGAATTTACACGGCACATTGATGGATATAAATACTCCTCCACGTTATTCTTGCACAGAATAACCATTGCCTGGTTCCTCGGCCTGGCGCTGTGGGGATCCGAGGCTGTATGCGGAATTATTGCGAAAAAATGGGCGTGGCCACGCCACAAGTAATTGTCTGTTGATACCCCCTATATCCTGCGACAGGAATTCTAAAGTCGCGGGTCCCCGCAAACTAGCGCTGCCGCGTCGGGGTGATGACTTGACAGTGACATGTACCGCTACCGGCTGTAATTGTAACTATTGTCGGAAACACTCACAAAAGTCGGGTTGATTAGTGATCCCGATGTAGACCTCGACATGCTCTGTCCTGTCGCTGCCGGCGGGCCGAAGTGGAGAATCGTGTCGGCCGAGATCTGGTGGCCCGGGTACGCCACCACGTCAACGGCCGTGTACAGCGCTGGTTGGCTGGCCGTCGACCCACTTACGTCCGGGCTGGAAGATTCAAAGTGTGGCTTGCCATTGCCTCTGAAAGGCTACAGTGGTCTCTGTCGCAGGATGTAGGGGGTACTAACAGACAATTACATGTGGCGTGGCCACGCCCATTTTTTTGTGCAACAGCCTCCATGTTCAGGTTCCACCGGTTTCTGTCTAATGGTGTTTGTTACACAAGGGATGTTATAAGCGGTCAATCCTTTGGGCAGCAGCTCAGGCCCGCATTAGGAAAACCTGCCTGCTGAGTAACGTGCCAATTAGGCCAGCGCCCTTTTACCTCTATTTACAATACAGCTGTGTGTAAAAGATAAACGAGCGGTGGAACTTTGACCTGCAAATCCTGCTATGCCATTGTGTTGGCAAAGGCATTCATTAAACCCATAACAGGGGGAACAAGGGTCAAATACATACATGCTGTCAAACTCACTTGCTGCATACTACAGAGTCGACTTTATTAGAAATAGTCCTCATACAGCTACATGTAACCTTCCCAAAAGAAGGACTGACATTCGAGAGGTGCTTGATCGGCAGGACCTCCTCACAACAGCCCTTTAAATCCGCAAAAGTGCGTTGAGTTGGGTGTCCCAAACTTCTGTTGCTTGAGACGTACCAGGCCTACGTACGGAGTACTAGTTGCCAGGTATTCCGGAAAAGTGTAGCCAACGCATCTTCGCACATGTAAAGGGACGGGGGAAAACATGCCGTGTTAGGTGATGCCTCGAATAATCTCTGGCGCGTAAGATATCCGGTTGTCACACGGCCAAGGGCCCTGAACAAAGGTATCGGACCGCAAAGGTTACACAACAACAAAGAAAGGTATCACGAGTGACCGGAGCCGGACTATAAGTGTCGCACCAAAAAATGGGCGTGACCACGCCACATATACTCCGTATTGATGTGTTGGTACCCCCTATGTCCTGTGCGACAATAAGCAAGGACTGCCTCAGGCAGCAGCCCTCATCTACTTCTTGTATTTATAGACTTCCAGCCCCTCACCGCCTCCCAGAAATCCAAGGACCTTTGATATCTTTAGGTCGATTATTGAATTGATGATGTTTAAACACACGTTCTGAGCCCAGTTACCTATCCTTGTCACGCCGGTCTAGTGCTATTACTCACCTACAGATGTCACGCGTGCAACTAACAAAGCGAGCAAGGAGAACCAGCACAACATCGAAAGAACCAGGATCAATGTCCGCGGCATTGAAGTCCGTGGTATTCCGTGCGGAGCCGCCGGGAGTGCGCCGAGACCTTGCATACGTAATGCATGTCAACCGTCCCAGTACCATCTCCAGATGTACGGTGCTTGACCTCTTTGGAGTGATCAAATAGGGGTAAATCAGCGTGCCAAGTGTACCAGACTTGGCTCGTCTATTAATTACCCCAGCGATTGTCTCACACCTACAAAAAAAAACATAGGTCTCAATAAATAACTTTGTCACCTACACAGGCAAAAAATACCGAAACATCCAAGCGGCAAAAAACGAAATACGACACCTGCAGGATTCGAACCTGCGCACACGAATGTAATGCCTGATTCAACACGCCTGTTCTCAGGCTGTAGCAGGGCATCGCCTTAACCACTCGGCCAAAGTGTCATGGTTAAAAACCGGGGCTTGCCATATCTCGCTCCTAATTAGGTTTTCAAAGGTGCGACTAGCGAAAGTGGAAGATGCAGATACAGTGGCATCTGGTTTGGTTCTGTTGGATTGCACCTGCCACGATTTATGCATGTCAATTTGCATACTACCTAAATCGTCACGTAAGTGATGGCAAGCTTCATTTTATTATTGGTGAAATGGTGTATGGAGTTAAATCAATCTGACTTTTTGCTCAGCTCCACTGCTCGCTCGTTCCTCATAACACCCTGCAACACCCGGCCCTCCAACCATTTTGGCAAGACGGTGAAACCAACGGTTTGCAGTGCGTGAGACCAATATCCAATGACACACCCGTGCCCATAGCCAGCCCGACTGAGAGCAGCGCGTGCCATATCTTGAGCGCTGGGCGTGAATAACGAAGGCTCCTCTTTGTAGGCCGCCACACCCGTCACCCTGCCAACTCTGACCCCAAGCAATTCAACCTGATCCGATCCAGGGCCGTGGCCAAGGGGCATCTCAAGAGATACGGACCGGGTTAGAGTCATGAGAAACTGCTTACTTGACCCGTAGGATGACAGCAATGGAAATCCAGTATCCGCCAAGGAACTGATGTTGATGATGAGAGATGGTCCGTTGCGGCAGAGAGTAGGGAGGAACTGTCGCATCATGTGGAGTGGGAAGCTGGCGTTTAGACTGACGTTTCTGGTGATTCGCTCCTCTGACGAGTCCATCAACAGTCTGTAAATGGGACTGGTTGACATGCCACCGGCATTGTTGATCAGGACGGTGAGATGCAGACCCTCCAATTCCGCTCCTATAGCTTTAAAGTCTAGAGCCTCGCTGTTTTGGCCATGTTGCTCACTCGGGATGCAGTTGGTACAAGCCACTTTGCTGGCATCCGCGACCAGGATCCTGAAAGATCTGCTGGGATGCTTTTTCTGCAAACCATCCTTGACAGAGTTCAGCTTGCCGGGATTTCTGCCATGCAGCACCACGTTGAATCCATGGGTAGCGAGTTCTTGTGCAAATGCTGCGCCTATGCCGTCTGATGCGCCCGTGACCAAGGCCCACGGTGAGTCGCCATTGGGGGCAACGTGAGCAAACCGATGCAGCCGCGAGGGAAGGATATAGATGCCAACTAGGTGTATTAATTTGATCAGAATATAAGAAGCCGTGAGCCACCCGAGGGCGACTATTGGACTCGGAGATTGCGGCATTGGTATTGAGGTGACGACGGGTTCGTGCTAAGCAAGGGCGGGAGAAGGGGCTGGCGTTTAGCAACGGCTTCTGTTCAATCCACCAACAGACAATGGTACGGTGGATGCGTTCGTTGATTCGAGCGGCAATTGTAAAATTGGTAGAATTGAAACAGGTGAGAGTCGAGCGAGGAGGTGGTGAGGTTACATATGGGATTGGAGCTCGGTATGTTCATGTGACGACGACGCCATTGAACGACGCCGCAGTGTGAAATGCCTGGGGCACGTTGTGCAACCCTCAGTACGTATCCCGTCATCAACCCATTTCTGCAATCTGCTCCAGCATCATGGATCGTGCCGCCTCAACCGGATCTTGCAAGTCGATATTCCATAGCCCACCTGAATCTTTTTCTTCAATTCTGTTTCAGTTTCTCGGAATCATCGTCGATACCCTCGTACAACAGACACATTATTTCGGCGTTCTTGCTGCTGTCACCACCCGTTGGCTCCGCAGCCGCCTAATGTTATCGTATGCATAAAACGCCCGCTTCGTGTTCTAGACTCATGACAGACGGATCAGCCAGAATTTCGGCCAAGAAGTGCGCCTCTTCAATGGCTTGCCGGCGCCAGCCCTGGCGAGGAGTCGTTGCATGCGTCGCATCTCCCAGGATGGCAACTAAGGTGGAGATATCTGGACGCTCGACCAAGGCCCGTTGCGGAGACACCAAGGCAAGGAAGGGTAAGGGGAGTTCGAGTTTGTCACGTGATATATCACATGGGCAACCTGCTCTTGAATCTTCGCTTCTGGTAGCAGAATTGCGGGGATTGTAGGGCACAAAGCCCCCCTCTCGCGTTGACACTAGCGTCGCCTGCGGAAAAAAAAGAGAAAGCTGTGGCCCCGATATTTGCACTCGCCGCACTCGTTGGCTCAACTTGGACTTTGGACTTTTTCCTCATCACGCCCATCGCCAACAGGTAGTCGACAAAATGGCCCGCGGAATGTAAGTAACACAGTCAACAGAACAAAACGAGAAGTCAGCAATTGATCGTTTGTGTTTTTTTACACACCGTTTCCAATTGTTGACATTTTTTGCTTGTCTGCGGATTCGAGATGAACATCCTGACGAAGCCCGGGTTTACTAACATTTCGGCAGCAAGAAGCACCAGAAGCGCCTCAGCGCCCCCTCGCACTGGCTGCTGGACAAATTGTCCGGCACCTACGCTCCCAAGCCCTCTGCCGGTCCTCACAAGCTCCGCGACTGCTTGCCCTTGATCGTCTTCATCCGCAACCGCCTCAAGTATGCCCTCAACTACCGCGAGACCAAGGCCATCCTCATGCAGCGCCTGGTCAAGGTTGACGGCAAGGTCCGCACCGACATGACCTACCCTGCTGGCTTCATGGACGTCATCAGCATCGAGAAGACTGGCGAGAACTTCCGCCTCGTCTACGACACCAAGGGCCGCTTCACCGTCCACCGAATCCAGGCCGAGGAGGCCGAGTACAAGCTCGGCAAGGTCAAGCGCGTGCAGCTTGGCCGTGGCGGAATCCCATTCTTGGTTACGCACGATGCGAGAACGTGAGTGTTTTGGCTTTGAAAGAACCAAACCCTGTTCTGTTAGACATCATTCAGTCGTTGGATCAAGCTTTGGTCGATTCTTCTTCTTTCGAGGACTCTTCGTGTCTTTCTCGAAGTCCACAAACTTTCCACCCCCGTCTCCTACCATGTCGATTGATTATATTGCCATATAATGTGTTGGTGTACGATTTTGGGACTAGGAAACGTGGACCGGAAAGAATGAAGAGCTTCGAGAAGAGACGAGACATGGCTTGTTTCAACGGCTGTAATGTACCCCCCTCGGAGAACCCCAGGTTGGCTAACTGTAAATCTCTTTTTGCGTAAATTTAGCATCCGTTACCCTGACCCTCTGATCAAGGTCAACGACACCGTCAAGATTGACCTCGCCACCGGCAAGATCACCGACTTCATCAAGTTCGACACTGGCGCCGTTGCCATGGTCACTGGTGGTCGTAACATGGGCCGTGTTGGTGTCATCACCCACCGTGAGCGTCACGACGGTGGCTTCAACATTGTCCACATCAAGGACGCCATTGACAACAGCTTTGCCACCCGTGAGAGCAACGTTTTCGTCATTGGCCAGGATAAGCCCTGGATCTCCCTGCCCAAGGGCAAGGGTGTCAAGCTCACCATTGCTGAGGAGCGTGACCGCCGCCGTGCTTACACTCAGTCCCACTAAGTGTCTCTTGATACATGGTGCCATATACCCTAGGTAGTGTACTTGGATGACATGTGGGAAAGGGGGTGAGACGACGGGAAATAAGAAAATAAAACTTTTGTTTGGCATGTGGAACTGGAGTCTCGGATTTGACGAATTTCTTCCTTCTGGGGCCCATGATAAACCCTGGAGAATATAGCCGGCCATGTGAGGCTTACGAGTAAAAAGAACAATTACGCAAAGCTAAGGCGTTCCTTGTCAAGTGATCTTCACTCTTCCTCGTGACTGTATCGTGTTCTAGGCTACAGTGTGAATACTGTTTCTTAAATGTGACGCTGATGGCCGTTTCGTTCGAGCTGGCCTTGGGAACAAGGCGGACTGACGCGACTTCTATAAAAACATTGAGAGGCCCATCAGGCTGGTTCAAGTCCTACGAAAGCGGCCATCGGCATTACACATCTTATACTGCTGGTGTTTTCATCGCATGTATGTTTACTATAGTGTCACAGATTTGATTTGTTGAATTCAATGTATACATATGCACAAAGCAACAGTTTGCGTGGAACAACCCAGCGCAGTCCGCGTGTGATCAGATTCCTGGTAAATCACATAACACATGGGGCCGCAGTACCTTGACATGATCCGTGATAAAGGGCCACGAGGGCTTATCGTGCGTGAATCGATGGACTGGCCTAGCGAACTAGCAACAAGAGTGTCATAGACACATCCTGGTGTATGAGCAAAAAATAATTATACCTCACCATCGGCGACCGGCTCGGCCTCCGAAGTCCACACATTATCGATGCATGGTCCGTAACTCTGAGTGAGCTGATTCTTTCCAACTAACATCCAATGACTGACAATCTCGTGTACCAGTCAAAGGCGAAGTTCTACTACAGAGGTATGCATAAACATAGACATGTAAGGCAAAAAGCATCTGACGTAACAAGGTATCCGCACATCACACCGCAGACTATTACATGCTGCAGTGTATGACCGCCACTTAGCTCATGTCCAGCTTGTCCTGATAGGAGGTATATTCTCACCGGATCAATTTGTATGAAATTCGCAAATGTGACGTGATGAAGGCATTCTCGGGACGTAGCGGAACAGTCATTCCTAAGTGAATATGGCGACGGTTGTGCTATGAGTACTCCGTAGCTGCCCTCACCATTTTCGCCTCGTCTGCCGGCAAGACACAAACCGTGATTCACTAGGGCAGCGATAACGAGAAAATACTTACCAACTCAATGTGGAAGAACTTCCCGCGACCATCTCCTTGACAGGTCGTGCTGGGAACAATTCCCTCGTCCTTGAGAATATTCTGGCCTGAATGGGGATCATGGACGTCATAGCCTCATAGGTCACCCACCCAAGGAGTCGATGGGAACGGCGCCGCCTCTCAAGTGCTCGCACAATATGCTAAAATGCTTGGTGGCCGATCCCGCAGCAATGACCCACGAAACAATGCTTCGCCGCCCGAGTTCCGCAAGCTCCATCATCGTAGACCGAGACGGCCCCAGCAAAAGACCCAGTACTCACCTAGGTACGGATAGGCTCGTCATGGAAAAATCACCAGATTTCGGGAGCCTATTATCCGTGCTAGTTGTCCAAGATGGTCGCCATCAACATCTACCCAAGTCTCCGCCCCCGAGACGACACTGTTCCTAAGCCCGCGGTGTCTGAAGAAACCAGACCGTGGGCTTCGCCATTTGACTGCATCAAGGTGAGTACAAGGGATGATAGCCGGCCATCCGGGTTCCTTGATAAGTGAGGACTGACTGATGTTGATCTTCGACCAACCGTAGCCTCGTCTGCAGTCGCCGATTTCGGATGCTCGTCTCGGCAGCAAAGGACAAGAAATAAATGACGGTGAAACATGTTGGTGGTAACAATTGGAGGAGGCATATTTAAGAGTTTCCTCTACGACGGATACGGAGCCTTACGTTGAGTAAATCCGCGGCGGCTCAGTCCGCTCCTGCCGGCAGAAGTACAGGACTCCGTCGGCAACCGCCAGCTGAAGCTCAGTGACGTGGGAAGGAACCCCGCCCCTCCCTGGCTCGTTCCTCACGTTGAGCTGCCCCTCTGCCTCCACCATGCAATTCCAAATAATTCTCCCAGACACCATTGCGTATTTTTGGGCCCCTCTTGCTAATTGGAGCTTGAGCTGTTCCAAGTGCCACTTGGGCAGTCGAATATAATGTGTTTTTCGGAGGCCTTTGTTATGGGTCTGGAGCCCTGTTGCCCTGACTAATGCTAATGCATTTGTTAAGGCTGTTGGCGTGTTTGTGGTCCCTTCAATCGTAAACCGCAGCCCCTCCGAGGGGCAATAGACAATTATATAATAACCCTCTGCCGTTCTTGCTTTCGTCTCATGCTGCTCAATTTCATACACACCGTCGCTCAAACACGTCAAAACAAAACCTTCCACCCTCCATTACCGTCATCATGTCTGGACTCAAGGTCGGCGATTCTTTCCCTGAGGGTGTAAAGTTCTCTTACATCGAGCCATCTGGCGACGACATCAACACATGTGGCATTCCTGGACCCTTTGATGCCAGTGCTGGTATGCTTCCCGCAGCGAGCTCCATGAGCTCTTCATCAAGAGTCAATTGCTAACAGGTGTCTGTCCTTAGAATTCAAGAAGAAGAAGGTCGTGCTCGTCTCCGTCCCCGGCGCCTTCACCCCCGTCTGCTCGTCTGCCCACCTCCCCTCATACATTGCCAACCGCGACGCTCTCAAGGCCAAGGGTGTCGCCCAGGTCATCATGATTGCCTACAACGACGCCTATGTTATGTCTGCATGGGGCAAGGCTCACAACATCAAGGACGACTTTATCCTCTGTGTCTCGGACCCTGGCTTTAGCAAGTCCATTGGCTGGAACGATGGCGAACGCACCTCTCGCTACGCCATTGTTATTGATCAAGGAAAGGTCATCTATGCTGAGAAGGAGACAAGTGGCATTGAGAAGACTGGCGCTGAGGGTGTTTTGGCCGCCCTGTAAATTAGACTCAATACTACGATAGATCGGGACTAGGCTGCCGCGTGTTCAGCAGCTGCAGATAGAATAGACTAGATTAAAGATTAGAAATGAGGAACTGATGAACTTCAAAATATTGAAATATTCGGGTTGCATTTCGTGACAATAACCTCGATTCATGTGGAATATTCTGGAGTCGCCATTGGGCTGTGTTTTGACTTCATCCTGGACCAGCTGTGTCCCCTGCCGCGCAGGACTAGCAGCCGTACAGACAAAATGCCCCTCGTGCCAAATAGCCGTTCGTCATTGCACCCTATACCTATTACCGAGTCACCAGGAACCACAAAGCATGCAACATTGAACGAGAAGCTAGTGTTTTGACTTTGAATCATTGCACAGGTATGTCATTTGCTCAACTACCAATGCACCCTATGGCATTCCATGCACCCGAGAATTTGTAGAAGAACCGGCCGGAAAGGACACAAGAACCACATACTCCACCACTCTTCCCGTTTTCTCTTTAATTCATACCGCTTTTTGCACCAAACCCCCCAAGACAAATTTCAATATCTTAGCTTAGCGAGTTCGGGCGGCAACCTTGACTGGTGCACCCTTGGCACCCTGCTTGCTGACGTTTCGCTGGGTCTGGCCCTTGCCAGCGGCGGCAGCGGTCTTGGCCTTCTCAGCCTTCTTGGCAGCAGCGGCAGCGTTCTTCTTCTCCTTGCTCTCCTTGATAGCCTGGGCACGGGCGGCAGTTCTGGCCTCGGGGCGCATGGAGCGTCGCTCCTTGATCACATCGAGGGAGGCACCGACGATGGCACGCTGGGCCTTGACGGTTCGGCGGGTACGCTTCTTGGCAACTTCCTGTACAAGGCATTAGCATTAGCAAATGGTTCAACTGTGCCGCCAAGATCCCGGCATATATCCCGTCAGACGAAGAAACCGAGCCTCCGTTGCCGTCTCCTGGGTTGGCTGATGCCCCTTTCATGTGCAGATAGCCCCAGACTCAAGAACAGCAACGTCATCTCGGTTCTGTCTCGGAACATGTATGCCGGTTGATGTAGTCGGATCGTACCTCAGAGATACCCTTGCGGTGCTGTCGGCGGTACAGAACAGTCCAGGCGATGCGGCGAGGGTTCTTTCGCTGCAGGAACAGTGACTCCGACTTGCCATTCTGGAATCGGAACACCTTGCTGTCGCCACGGACGTAGATTTTACCCTATCAGACGGCATGTTAGCAAAACCTGTCTGCCGAATTGTACCCTACTCCCCCTCGTCATGATGTCTTCCGGTCCGCGATAAAAAGAATTCCGTTTGTCCAAACAGTATATATCCGTCGTACATCCATCTTGTACTGCCTCTTCCCTCTTTTATATCGATTTTCGCCCGTCAAGGAACCCATTTGCGACCGGAAACACAACCATGACGACGGGAGTACTCGAAAGGGAAAATGGGATCAAAAATAGTCGTACCTTGCCAGGGTAAATTCTCTGGCCCGAGAAGGTATCGTCGTAGGTACGCATCTTGTCGCGGTTGTGGGTTTATAGCGACAAGGTGTATGTGTCGAGGACCGTAGATTTGGCGGGTTGGCAAAAGTTGAGCAGCGTGATACGGGCAATTTCTCGAATTGGAGGTGTGTGCCATAATGACTAATCGGTCTAGGGCAGACGAGGCGCTAAAATCGGGTGACTGTGCGGCACATGATGGGTCACGTGTATACCTGGCAAGCGACGTTGATGGGAGGGAGTTGTGGGGATTTGGCTTCCCAGTTTGGGTCAATTGGCAAATAGGGCTCCAATCCGCCAAAAGTGTCTCAAGGCCTTGTCGCTTCATGGACCTTGTGAAATGAAACTCATATATCTTGAGAATTTACGAGGATATTCAGCTTCAATTTCTTCTTTTGTAGTTTGAGATTGTAGGCTCTATGAGATGAGCCACTATTTGCTCTTAAATGCCAACGACCTCACGAGCGAATGTCATCGCGCGAACCGTCATATCGCAGTTCCAAAAGCTACCAGCAAAGCGAAAGCCTACAGTCCGAAATAATGGATTGCACGAATGGGTTCCGCTGAGTGGCATTGTCGCCGAAAAAGATGGGAAATGGACCTGTTTAGCTTTGGCGTAAGTACCTTTCAGATGGGCGTGCAACTGAAAACCGTAAATCACTAAAGAACTTTACCACTTAGCACAGGCATGAAGTGTCTTCCGGCGTCCAAACTTCATGAAGCAGATGGCAATGCGATTCACGATTGGCATGCCGAGGTCCTCGCTATCAGGGCTTTCAACCGATTTCTGATAGACGAGTGCAAAACTTTACAGCAGGGGAAGTCTGCTTCCATTCTGCAAGCCTGCGGCTCGCATGAGCCTAAACCGTTCCGCATCAGAGACGGTTTGAAGCTTCACATGTACTGCTCTGAAGCACCCTGTATGCTCTCCGTATCGTGGTCAAATCTTACATAAGGGTCTAATTGCTTCACCAGGTGGAGATGCAAGCATGGAGTTGATAATGGCAGCTCAAGACGACGCATCGCCGTGGGATATCCCGCCGTCACCCGCGACAACAGAATCAGGTGCAACTGCGGCATCGCTTCCAGGTCGAGCCTATTTCTCCCAACTGGGTGTTGTTCGACGCAAGCCCGCGCGCGGCGACGCTCCTCCAACCTTGTCCAAGTCCTGTTCCGACAAAATCACACTCAAACAATGCACATCGCTCCTCTCATCACTGACATCTCTCTTTGTCGATACTTCCAGCGCTTACATTGACACGCTGGTGCTTCCGGGGTCTCAGTACTCAGCTACAGGCTGTCAAAGGGCATTTTCGGAACGTGTGAACAATTTGATGAATGTATCTTGGCCCGGGGGCTACCAGTTCCGTCCGTTCACCGTCGAGACTACTGATGAAGAGTTTGAGCTTTCGAGGAAGACAATAAGAGAAAGGTCTGAAAACATTGCGCCAAGTAACATTTCGGCTGCGTGGTCTGCCACAGGTGTGGAAGAGACGATATTGGGTGGTGTTCTTCAAGGGAGGAAGCCTTTCGATGTCAAGGGCGCCAGTAAGATGTCTAGGAGACAATTGTGGTTAGCAGCCAGAGAGGTATCCAACAGTTTGAATGGCTACGGTGGTATAAGGCAGCTTCTGAGCTCCAAGACCTACCAAGACGTCAAGAACGGAGAGTTGTTAGCGGATAGGCGACATGTCAAGCAACACGTTCGGACAACTGCCTTGGCCGGCTGGATTCCAAATGTCGGCGACTCAAATTTCTCGATCTGTACCGGTGCTTGAAAACAAAGCCAGGGGCAAAGAGCACTGGCAGGTATTGGAGAATACTGTTTACATCATTAAAGATTTGGCATTTTCCCTAGATGCGGTTGGGGTCTTTGTCCGAACCCGAACCTGCTAAAGACAGCTTTCACGCTCCCGTGTCGCTTACATCCGCCGCCACACTCCTCATGTCCCGACAGTTCTTGCAACAACTCCTTTTTCTTTCCACGTAATAGACAAGAACATTGGCAAAAACGTCGCAGACAAATTTCCTGCAACAGGCAGAAAATATGTGATTGGGGTCCTTTCCACGATGAGAAGAAAGCAAACCAGAGTAAACCCAATTGAAATAAAAATCACCAAGCACCAAGTACTTCATTCCAAGGCCAGCCTGACGGCACTTCATTTCGCAAGAATACGCCACCCTAGCCAGTTCCCATCTTGTACTAAACCCCATCCCCTCCTCTTTCCCGTTGGTCATCAAACAATGTTCGTGCCGGAGAGGAACTCTTCATAAGATCAAATTTACTCGACCTTGCTCTCGAAATTCTCGCCCTCAACGAGGTCGGGGATCTCGTCGTCGTCCTCACCCTTCTCGGCCTCTTTCTGCATATTCTGGTAGCTCTCGGCGAGCTTGCGGAGGGAAGCGAGAGAGTCTGGGCCCAGCTGGTTCAGGATGCCGGGGACAAGCTCAGTGAGCTCCTTGTCCTCTCCATTACCGTAGATAGCGAAGGTGTTGGAGGGAACAGCGGCGTGGACTGTACGCAAGGGCGAGGTGTCAGCAGGAGATCTTGTGCTCCGTTTTCCGGCCCTGGATTCAAGTATATGTACGCACCCTTGGGAGCAGAGAAGTGAATGACATTGCCATCCGACTTGAACATGTTGACCTCCTCAATTGCCTGGATGGGCTGAGTGTTCAGCTTCTTCAAGGTCTGCTGGAGCTTCTTGTCGTCGGCGCCGGATCGAGCGGGCGCACGCTTGACCTTTCTTCGGGGAGTACCTTTGCCACTGCATATTGTAAAAAGCAAGCGGTTGATTAGCTTCGGTCGGTGAGTCGATCGTTGGAATTTCAACTAGCGTAACATCATGCCATCGTCAGATATGCGGTGAGAACTTACCCTACGTAGGCGAGTTAGCAATCTCCAGAATTTCCCATCACCCCTCTCCAGGAACTGAATTCCCCCCGTCTAGCAGTCCACTCACCGATACGGCCAGCCTGGCCAAGCTTCTTGAGGCGCTCCTGGACGTCAGCCATGTTGAGAGGTTATGAAGGAAGCGGAGGAGAAACTATATTCGCCCGTCGGCTCGTCAGCTCAAGACGTATCCCAAAAAATCACCTACGGCGCCCAGGATCAAGTACAGGATCAGCCGGACGACGTCGGGATGAAAAATGCCGAGCTACAACATCGGTTGGGAGAGTCACTACGCACCGAAAAAAGATGAGGGGTTGCGTCAAAGAGGCTGATTTGTCGCCGACGGCATGGATTGGTGATGGAGCAAAGCAAGAGTCGTTTTTGTGCGTGCCAAGAGTTTTCGCCTGTGGAAAATGTATTGCCCGAGAAGGAGGCCCCACCGGCGCTCGACGCCACGGTTGTTGGAGGCTGGCCAGAAATCTGGGGCTAGCTAGCCCGGACGTCCATGGCCAACTGTCAGCACAGTACGGAGTATTCCGTACGGAATAGTACCGCACATGACCACCATCCAACATCACCTACAACGCTGTCCGGAGTAGAAGCCCTGCCTCGTTATTTTTGATTATAGTCCAAAGGGAATGTCGCATCAAGGCTCACCATATAGCAAGTCATGGGTCCCTGCAGCACTTGGCATATTCACTCGGTTCGTTTGGGAGAATTACCACAGTCAGGTGTGCCATGCAGCATTTCCGTACATCAACATAGGTCCATGCCCATAACTCTATGTTCTCATAAGGTGGGTGTTTCATGAATTATTCCGGTACCATTCATGATTGTTCTCACGTTTCACGCTTCATTCAGTACTCTGCTTCTGGGTGAATTCAATATATTCAACTTGCTGATACACAGCACTGCTCGGTATCTACATCATGTACGCATTAACGGGTATGGATAAACCCCCCCCTAGAGGACTTCAACATCTCTTTCTTCGTGTTGCCCCTCCCTCGCCTACCACGTGTCAGGGCCGAGTGGTTTAGTCACATTTTGGATGAACTTCCTTGTCACGGCTTTGCCTTGGGCATCCAAGGTTTCTTGCCAGACAGTGGTACCCCACCATTCGGGGAACTCAGTCTCGCTTAGACCAAGACCAAGGCCGGTAATGACAGTGCAGAGAGCAGTGCCGATGTCAAGGGCACCAGATAAAGCATAAGTGTAACGACTCCACCATCCAAAGAAAGCCCTGCGGATGAAAAGGTTGAAGATGAGACCAACAATGACCCACTGGAAGAGGAAGTAGAGGGTGGCAGGAGGAATCATTCCGGCAGCACCAAAGAGAGCAGGAGTGATGACGTAGCGTGCCCAGCTGCGAGGGTATCTTCGGGCAATCAGATACTGGATCACAGGGCAAATAAAGCCAATGAACCAGAACCAGTTTGTCCAAGAATATCTACATCCTAAGTTAGCATAAATCAAGAGTTTTGGAAGTGCAAATACTCACATTCCACCGGCACCAAAGACCTTCTTGGGGCCAATGACTCCCCAGATAACACTCGCATTATAGAAAGTTCGCGCACCAGGACAGGTCAGACCTTGCTTCTGGGTTTCTGTGCAAATCTCACTGATGTTACCCCGAAGGAAGTTATAAGCAGAAATCTGAACAAATGAGAGCCAGATAACAGCGAAAGCCTGAGCAGCAAACATGCTGCGGGGAGGAATCTTCATATAGTGGCCAACCTTCATATCAGAAATGTAGTTTAGCCCGTTGTATGACAACATGTAACCGTAACTCTTGAAGAGCATCATGGCCACGGGGCGACCGGGCATCATGTATCCAATAATCATTTCTGTAATGATGTTCAAGCCGGTTTGCTGGTTGGTGATAGCCTGAACCATGCCAATCGGAATAAAGAGGACAGCGCCAATAAGAATACACACAATATACGCCCACCAGGGTAGGTGAGTATCCCAGACTTGGCAGGCAATCATACCAAAGGCGAAGCTGACCGCAAAAATACACATGAACCACCATTCAGGAGCTTCCTTGTACTTGCGCATAAGCTTCATATGCACGTCAGGCTCATCGTGTTGCGAGTTTTTGGCCCGGTTCCATACATCCCGTCCATAAAAGAGGATGATATGCATAATAGTAGACATAAGTGCAGCAAAGCCTAACCCATAAGAAAGGGAAAAGGTAGGGCCGAGGAGAATAGGCGAGTATTGCTGGTAAGCCGTCTCGTTAACAGTGAAGTCCGGAGCGAGGATACGGCTCGTGTTATAGGACTTGGCAAATCTGTCAAAGTTTTTGTTGGCGCTAATAGGGAGGTATCGGTAGTACTCGGGACCAGCAAACGCAAGGCCGGCCGCACCTATGGTCATGAGGCAAATGCCAGCACAGACATTGAGAATGGCAAAAGCGGGAGTCTGGAGCGGTGAGCTTAAGAAAGCGGTAACGGTGGCCCAGTCAAGAGACATTGGCATAAGACCGAAACCAGTATTGCCACCGAAAATTTGGTTAACAACAACATTATTCGGGGCAATCCAAGTAGGCCACATGAAATAGCTCAGAAAAGGAGCAATGACCAGAGGGAACCATTCCCAAAGAAAGGTGCAGCCAGCGACAAGGAGGAAGAAGCTATAACGACCAATCTTCCACCCATTGGTGGCAGAGGGATCGGACGGGCGATGGTCATGAAGCGAGTACATGACTGTGCAGGTAATGAGCGTAGCCGGCCAAACCATTGACGATGGCCAGATGAGGAATCTTCGAGCAATGCCGGCAACACCGAAGCCCATAGCCTGGGTGGAAAGCATGAGAAGAATTTGGAAACCCCACCTATATTTAACATGTTAGCAAGTAGTAACATAATAAAGAGCTCGCCGGGCTAAACCCTACTTGAATTCCTGCTTGTAAAAGATTTCCTGTGCAAGGAGAATGTCGATGGCGTAGCTAAGAGAGCTGCCCGCCGCAGTCATCATGGTGATAATCGTATGCTCCTTGGTATTGAAAGGGCCAGGATTGAGCTCGAGAGTGCGACCGAATACTTTGAACGTCTTGGCAGGCATGAACTTGGCCCAGCCGCAACCAAGCCTGGGGAAAATGGTTAGGAAACGGCCCAGACTGGACTGACATGAATGTAGTGGCATCAGGACTTACGGATAAGCGATAAGCTGAACGACGGTAGACGAGATGGAGATGGGAGTGCGACGCATGCTAAGCAAGACGTTGCAAGCAGCAACAACGGTGCAGAGAGCAGCTCCAATAGTCCAAGCTCGAAGAGTGTTGACAGGGACATCAATGTCAGTGGGAGGAACCTGTGGCCAAGCCTTGTTAGCCCATTCAACCACATTTTGGGCCTGTCTGGGAGCGATATAACGCTGAGGCCGAGCCAATTGAACAGTCCATAATACGTATACTTACCGAGTTGCGGACCTCTGGGTAAGGCGAATCCTCCTGAATCAGAGACTCATCAATAGCAGCCTCCTTCTCGGCATTGCCAGAGGCGAGAGCATCATCAATGTTGTCGAGCTTGTCAATGTCCAGGAAGGGATCCCACTGATGTTGGCGTCTGAATCGGCGCAGCTCGCGCTCGGTGCCCTCAGCGTTGGGGAGGACATCGGCGCCAGTTGTCTCACCCGTAGTCTCAGTCGACTTGATACCGAAGCGTTCCTTGAGGCCCATGGTTGCGACTTCTTATTCCTGCACTAGTGACTTGGACTAGATGCAAGACGGACACGGATATGCCAGTGCACAAAGGTAGGTAGGCAAAAACAAGGAGGGAAAGAGCGAGGGGTGCCGGAGTTTATATCCCAGAAAGAGACGGGACTCGGGAGCACGACATCTGCTCAAGCGAGCGCCAGCACAAAGATGACACCGTTCATCCTCCACAGACCGCCGCACCCTTGCCTCCAGCATTCATAGCCGACCGAGAGCAGAAACAGGACGACGGTTGTAGGGGTACATTGCCTGCCCTTGGACACGATGCAACATCACACACGGATTCGGAACGGGGGAGGATGTGCGGGTATGAGGACATAGCCAAGAGCCGAGACAGACGCCGTTTTTGGAGCTAATAAGTACCAGGCAAACCATGGGCCCATGACAAGCGGAAGCAATGCCCTCCTCTGCATGTCTCGAACATTGTCGGTGGCCAGCTCTGTTTCCGGTATCTCTGTGTGCCACATCTGAATTGTGGGTGGCAATTGTTTGTCGGCAGGTAGGGGTGTGTTGGAGGCAAGGGACGAAGACCCTGGCGTGCGCATCACGACAACTTCAAAGTTCACGCCCTTGTACGAAAGAAGGCGGGATGAGCCCATGTGGCACCCCGCTTCCACAGCGGCCTCGGCGCCCCCAGCTCTGACCGAACGTTCAATGTTGGTCTCTGTTCCAGCCCAAAGCAGACGGAAAGATTATGATTGGAATATGGCACGCCGACCTGCCTAATACAGCCGCGGAGCTATTTCGCAGCTGAGAGGCATCTTGTCTACCACTGCTATTCTCGTGGCTGTACTCCGTAGGGCGTCATGGATTCATCTTGACACATGTTGTACGCCTTTAGAGCGGTCTGTTCGAGTTGCTCTGTTACTCGGTGTAATAGTCGGCCTGCGCGCCCTGGTCTGTTGGCATTGATATCATTATTCATGCGACATTGCAGCCGGTTGCTTGCTCAGTATGAACTACATACATACGCCAGCCAGGCTTTTTACCAGTACGTACCGACCAGAGAGACGACAAAGCCACGTTCTCACTCGGCGAAATCAATACAAATCGGAGCACGGGGTACGGAGTAATATGGCTCGAATTGGCCTATGATGACAACCCGATTTCACAACACCATGGCCAACCAGACGTCATAAGAGCCTTCCTGGAGGCTCTCTCATACAATTGTTTCGCGGCAATCTAGCCAGGGGGGCCGCTCATCCAGGCAATCAGGTCAGGCTAGAGAGTTTGGTGTGAGTGGATGCTTCCATTCCGGAGTACTAGCGGCTTTCTTATCTGAACTGTGAGGATCTTTTGCCAGCCTTCAGAGTTGAGCTAGGATTGCCGCCTCCAACCTATGATTACTGGCTGGAAGAATGACGGTGCCCAATCATGGACAGACATGCATCGGATACCCAGTGTCAGTGTCTCCATAGCACGAAACAAATTGCTGTTTTGCTATCATGGGCACGGGATAAGCAAGATGGAGCTTCCCGTTGGCATTGCTGGCTACCTGGCGAAACATGCAATACAATTACATCTTTTTTATCCTTCTTCGGTCTCTTTTCGCCGCAGTTGATGAGGTGGCCTGTGGGCTATTTCGATTCCGACTTCGACAGCGGGTGATGAGCTGCGACATGTCTTGCCACATCGCCAAAAGGTTGGTCGGATGCGGTGAAGCACAAGGCATACCTAACTCCCCAAGGTAGGCACCTAGGTAGTTGACAGTGTATGCCAGACGAAATGCTCCATGTTATACAAAGGCCAACTTTAAGGTCGCAGCCAACACGGTCGCAGCAAGAAACCTCGGAAGCCGGCATCTCAAGCTCGAGTGCAGGAAAAGAGGGACGAGCTTGAGAGGCTTTCCTTACCACCGATGCAAAACGAGACTCTCACGTAAACTGAAGGGGGGGCCATTGTGCCTGAAGCTACAGCCACGGGCCGTGCACCTGGCTGTCGCTGCAATTCACCAACTGACCTCGATGCACGGATATCGAGTGTTTATGGTGTTTGTCTCACTAACTTCGTCACCAATCGAAGGGACCCTGGGGACACCATTGATAGCAGCGCAGCCAGCTAGCCTCGAAGCGGCAGGCAGAGGTCGGAGCACTTGAGCGGCTGTTGGAAAGCCGACATTGAATCCACTAGTCATGGTTCCCCAGGTCATATCGGGGATGCTAGCTCATACTGGACCCTTGAGAACTTTTGTTCTGTCGCAGACACAGACGGGCAGTTTGGGGCTTGTCGCGTGCAACCAGACTTTAACTGGCCTTTTCAAATCATACGGAGGACGGAGTACAAGCGACCGGGCCAGTGGGGATCAGGGCTCTTCTGCTCCTTCATTCCAACATGGATGCCTCTAGTTGATCTTGGCAGGTCCTTTGATCAGTACTATCTGGCAGGAAACAATGGTGTTTCAACCTGATGCACATGTCATAGTATACTGCGTACATACGGCTATCTTCCCTCGCACCATGGTCACTCGTCGACGCTCAAGACGGGACAGCTGATAATTGTCACGAGCTCCTCTTGCAATGGACACGGGCGGCCTGCACAGCCCAATTCAGTCAGTGCTTATTTCGATTAAGCATTAAACATGAGAACAAGAGTGAGACATGTGATCAGAGTAGTAATTGCTAATTTTATAGGTACATATGTACGCAACTCACCACCTAGATGCGCAGCTACTACTCCGTAGTACTATTCCATACAGTACATATGTACGAATGAAGCTCGGTCCGCAGGGGTGCTTCCCTACCAAATGTCGATAGCTCTATGCCTCCTGCAAGTGCCCGCGCCGTAATCACGCAGCGCAGGCTTCTCGTGGCCAAGTGTTTATGAATGCCCCGTCTCAAGATTCCAGATGGTCATTACTATCGGGTGTCGACAATCAGGCGCCATGGCTTGCCGCGGATCTCTGGGCGTTTGCTAGGCATCGCCAAGCAAGTGCTGCCAAGTCGGCTGGCGGATGCCGGGCATGCACAAACTCTACACAATAATTGCGTGATACACGCCTGTGGCTGCAGCAAGCTGTTACTTTTCTTTTCCCCAAAACGAGCCCGATGAGAGCAGTTCTGCAATTCTGCAATTCTGCAGTTCATCAGTTCATCAGTTCCCCCAGCTTCGTCATTGCCATGGACATGGCAAATTCCTCAATCAAGCTAGCGCGTATGCACAATCATACTTGGAATTAAGGTGTTTACGGCTGGGGCGAGTCGACCACTAGCAGTCACGGCCGGATGACCAACGTTGCGCCGCATGTGCAAGGGTTGGTGATGATTGAAGCGCCTGGCCTCGGCCGCAGCACTCTGCGTCTTGCCACCTGGATCTGGTATAGTGTCATCCCGACTTATGAGATCCAGACCCCGACCATATGAGGTCAGGTGGCGGCCAATTCGCGCAGGGACATCAGAAAGGAGGGCGAGGAACAACAGGCACAGACGATGAAAGACGTGGCTAAATTTGACCGGTTATCTCGTTGGACCATGAGCCATCTGTCGGGATTGGTGAATTGTCAATATCGATTACTCCGTACTACTACTCCACAACCGCACCGAGGCACCAGCAAGTACGGATAGCCAGCAGGAAGATACGACGACCGTCTGCCAAGAGGGCCGTTTGTCGTTGGTACTACTGTCAGCTGGTTCGCGCTGTTTTGGGGAACTTTTTGTCTGCTGCCAAGACTAGAGGCGGAACATTGTCGCTTGATGCGGAGAGGGCGCAAGGTGGTTGGTGTGGCACAATCCGGCCATGCCAAAATCGAGGGACTCTTCCGATCTGGACATCGACATGCACACGGCGTTTATTGTAGGTGGGCAAGGGGGCAAAGACCATGGGTACGCCGATAGTCGAACCGGTTTTTTTGGCAGCAAAGCCATCGGGCCGCACCACGTTGGTCTTGGTTCTTGCCACCAGACTCGATCAATCAACATGGCTCACTAAAATGTTCTGTCCCTGCCATACGGGCAACACAAGTTCCTCAGATACTGGGCATTCGCTGCGGTGAGACGCCACGTCTGATCCGTATGTTACACGGATGAGTGGACTCGGTAACAGCCACCGCAGAGGCCAGCAGTGTCGATTCCATGAGCTCGGCTCAATGAAGAGAAAGCCCAACATGGCACTCTTCTTTTGCTGGTTGAATACTGAATACACCCCCAATACGGGGTAGATCTAAAGTCGTATTGGCATGTCAAAGTCGAGATTGCCGCCTGAACCCGCCTCCGCATGTTTACCCCAGAAACCATTTCCCCAACCTGTCTCGTCTCGACCCGTTCGCATTGGCACTATGACTAACAGTTTTGCAAAAGGTCCTCCTACCTCTCATATGCCTTGGCAGTCTTTGCTAATTATCGTACACTTGGAAATAACAAGGCAAGTAGTTGTACATGGATGAGCAGTGCATCCTGACCGTATTCCTGCATGAAAAGTTCCGCACCCCCGGCAGCCTTTCCGCTGTTGTACACAAAATCAATCCCCATTCATTTCCCCCCCAAATATTGCCTCTGGACGAGCCGAGCCTCGTCTGTGCTCCCACGTTTTTGCGTACCATTCATCCCCTAGCACAGCGACCTCTGTGGGATCCCAATCTGCAGATTTTTTTTGATTTTTTTTTTACTTGGAGCCCAGGCCGGCCTCGCGTCGCATTTCTTCCCGGCGAGCATCCGCCTCTTTCTGCTGCACCTTGGCCGCTTCCAGCACGGCCTTTTTGCGCCTCTCTTCCTCTTCCTTGACCACGATCCAGACTAGGTTGGGGGAAAACACGCACCCGTTAGCTCTCTTGGTTCCCAGGGATATGGTCACGTCACCTTCCCTCTTCCAAAACAACCCTGCCGCAAGAAAGGTAAAAGGTAGAGGAGGGAGCGGGGAGGGGGGGAGATCATGTGCGTGAGCTCGGTAAGGGGGCGCGGAAGACTAACTCGGTTTATCCGATTTGGAATACTCCTTCAGCCTCGTCACGAAATCATCGAATTCTTGCTGTCGCTCCTCCCTCGTCTCGATGCTCTTCTTGAGTAGATCCGGGTTGTACTTTGCGCGCAGCTCGTCCTCGGTCGGCGTGAGTCTCATGGTCAGTAGGGGTCCTCCCACGCTGATTGCTACGCCGCTGCGGTCGCCGTGTTAGCCGTGTGCGCAGCATAATTCCGCTTCACGGGGAGCGAGGTACCCGACTAGGACTTTGGTCCAGAGGCGCCAGTTCGTAGGCTGCTTGGGCGGCATTATGGCTGATGCCTCGGCGTTGCGCTGTGTGTATGCACGGTGCTGGACTCGGCGGGGAGCGTGGTTTACGTTCGCGTCGGCGCGGGCGTTGGCTCTCCTCGATGATGGGTTGATCGCTGCGATTGCGATGATGCCGAATCGTGAAGTTGAATCTGTTTGGTGGCGGGTTTTTGAGCAACTGGTGGCTGAGCACCGCCGCTGTCCAAGGGCCTGTGGCGTCGTCGGTCCATACAGTGGGGTGATGGGTCTGCGATTGCTCCGTGCGTCATCGGTTTACTCGACTATAATTTTGAGGGATGCTCTTGTTATTTGGGCATTGCATTCCGTAGTGCTGTTTCTTGGAATGTATCAGCGAGATCTTGTGGCTAGATTCCGTCTTCCGTCCAGGGTTGCCTGCGCAGTCCCTAACATGGCGTGGATTTGTGACGACTGCTTGCTACCCTGCAGACATACCACAGCCCAAAGTCAAGATGTTGAAGCTTAACACGGGGAAATTTATTCGGATCAGGGAGAATAATGCTCGTCATTTTTATGATGGGGATATTGTATTAAATTGGTACGTAGGCATTTATCTGTTCGGTTTTTGTCGCAAAAAAGACACGCGGTATACCCTTGGTCTGGCGAGACTATTGGCATCGTCACCAGAGGCATGCACATCGTTTCACAGGACAACTTATCTAGAGCCATTTTCCAGTGTAAATACATGAAACGTGAATTATTACCCGTGTCTTCTTGATTCTTCGACTGAAATTTGTAAACAAGTGTCGACAATATTTGGACTCGGTTCTGTGATATCCATATCCGAATCCTCAAACATCCGTGGGAATACTCTGCAATTTGACCCAGCAATTTTTCATCGGGAGGGCAACTCCACCAAGTTTCGTCCGAAGTGGTAAAAATATTGCAAGTTTCATTGATTCAAGCAGAGAGTGATGTAGATCCTACAGAGGCAAGTGATATTCTTGCTGAACCAGTAGTAAATATCTACTATTTTAGCATATATCTCTTCCCACCAGCGCATCTCGCACGAGGAGAAAGGCTTAGACATTCTACTCAAGTCGTAGGATTCACCGCCAGACACTCGCCATCCACTCCAACACCGTCTGCTGCCTCCTCTTTACCGGGACTCTGATTCTCCATCAAGAACCGCATCCTTGACCCTGCGTCCCCTTCCTCTCTCACAGCATCTCAACCACACCGAACCGCCCAGGCCAACCTAAACAAACCGCTCAGCGACGTGCCTCGCGCCCCCCCCAAACATGGCCCTCAAATCGGCCACCAACGCCTCGGGCCTCTCGCAGGCCGCGAAATGCCCCCCCTCGCCGTGAACGCGCTCAAACACCACGGGCCACGTCCTCGGCGGCAGAACCAGGTCCCTCGGGAAATACGACAGCCCCAACGGCACGCCCGGCACGTACCCGAGCCCGCGCCGCGTCCTCGCCGCCCCGGCGTGCCTTGCCTCGTAGTAGATGCGCACGCTGGCCGCCGCGCCCGCCGCCGAGAACTGGTACACGCACACCAGACCCCAGGTGAGCACCTCGTCGTCGGTCCAGGGGTACCCCGTCCGCCCAGTCGTGCAGCTTCTCGTACACCCAGGCCAGGAGGGCGACGGGGTTAGTTGGCCACTTGACGGGCTTGCGAGAGTCGTGGACGCCGACGAGACGGGCCGCACGTACATCCGTGGCAGAAGAGGAGCGGGATACTGCCTGGCCTCGGGCTCGGCTTGTGCACGAAGTGAACGCGGAGCCTTCCGAAGCCGTCTACGTGTATGGTCGTCTTGAACTGCGGCAGCTCGGCGTTGAGTTTGGCCTCGTGGGCGCGCCAGTCGTAGCCGTCTTTCCAGTACTTGGTGAGGCGGAGGAGTCGTCTCGGGGCGCTCCGTAGTTCCAGTCATTGGAGAAGTCAACCTCGTCGGGGAGATCGGACAGTTCCAGCTTGGCTTTCAGCTTCGTGATGGCGGCGTCGGGGACGGCAATCTTGAATGGGGTGATGCTTGCCATTTCTGCCCGTTGGTTCGCGACTATTGTGCTGTCCCTCCGTGAGTCTGTGTGATTTTCACGGCCAGGGAAACTAGCAGCGAGAAACGAGATAATTGAGCGGGGGAATTCATCCTCAATTGCGTGATTTGTAATGAGCATGCATGTCGCCCGTTGGAGGCGTGGATGATGCAAAGGCGGTGGTTAAAGGCGTAGCCTCACATTGGCTGCCGTCGGGCGACTAGGTTTGCCAGCAAAACGATGAATGCGGGCCGGGGCACGACTGGGCGTGCGTCTCCCCAGCTGCTTCCGTGTTGCCGGCCCCAGTTTTAGCCGCCGGATGTAGAGCGGATCGGGGGTGGGGGGATGCCGATCCCGAGTCCCATTGCTTCATTTTAACGCTGCTGTACCACACGTAGTTTACTACTTTAATAGCGCCGGATTGCTCAAGGGGCTCACTGCCATGTCTTCCCGCATAAGGACCATCTGCAGCTGACCTTGAGATACGCCTTGGTGAGTCAGCTTTCAAAAAGAGGACGGAGCAGTCACTTCGACTCATAGTGGCTCAGTCCGAAAGGGGCAGAGCCAAGTGGGGCCGCGCCGCGTCCAGCCTCCGCTCGGAAGCAGGAGGCAAGAAACGAGAGAGCTACTCCGTAGAAAGCAAGGAAGCTCCCCGCGTCGCAACGAATTGACTGCAGGACCGGCTCCTGAGACTGGTCAATTAGCATACATACTGGCTCGTGAGTCACACTGTTCGCCCAGAATGGAAATGCGCGCCGCCGAAACGGGGGACCTGGACTGAACGAATCGGTAACCGGCCTTGGCTAACGTGATGATACTTTTAGCAAGTTGACTTATATAATTGTCCGTCGCTCTTGCCCATAATGGAGGCAGAGTTGACATGAACACAGACACAACAATCTCGTCGACAACGACACCGTCTCTGCTAAGCTTCAATACTCGCAACGCTACGCCTACATCGTCCATATCCGAACACACAGCCAGCATGACAGACACAAACACCGGCGTTGTCGTGGACCAGCTGCCCCTAACCGTAGCGCAAGCCCCGTCCCTCTGCAGGCTCTGCAACATGCAATTGCTCGGCCTGCAGACGTGGCGAGCGCATGTCAAAAGCGACGGGCAGTACGTTTCCCCCCTTTTGCTCCTTTGGCTGGAATAATTTTTTTAAATTTTTTTTTTGAATCTAATCCCTCTCGGGCAGTGTCTATAAGCTTCGAATCAAGGTAGCACAACCAGGCGGTGCCACACCGCCGCCGCCGCCATCCCCCCCTTCAACAAAGCCGGGTGAGAAATGCGCCGCACCACCACACACTCGCAAGTCGCACGAGCCAAAAGTCGGCGCTGGCCAAGACCAAAACGCCGACAGTGACAGTGACAGTGACACGGAATACGAACCGTCAGTGCCGGAATTCAATCCCGGGCAGTGCCTCTTCTGCGCGCAACAGTCGGCCGCGCTGGGCGACAACATGGCACACATGGCCGCGGCGCACGGCTTCAGCGTGCCGTTCCGCGACCGCCTGGCCGTCGAGCCCGAGACGGTCGTGCGGCACCTGCACTTTGTTATTTACCGCCGCCGGGAGTGCATATGCTGCGGCGCGCGGCGGAGCACCGCCACCGGCGCCCAGCACCACATGCTGGCCAAGGGGCACTGCCGCTTCGACGTGTCCCCCGCCACCGGGGAGCTCTACGAGATGCCGCAGCGTAGGGATGCCGTGGCTGAGCGGGTGCGGCGCGGCGTGGACGTGCCGGTGCGCCTGCCGTCGGGAAAGCTCGTCTGTCGCCGGGGGAGCCTCGACGCGCATGAGCCTCGGGCCGCGAGGCGACCGGAGTCGATGCCGGGCCGGGCGCTGGACCCCGTCGCCGAGCGCGAGGCGACGTGCCCGAATACTACTACTAGTCTTGTGGTCGCCCGGCGGCGGGCAGGGGGCGGAAACGGCCAAGTTGTGCGTACGTGTGGCAGCGAGGCACTGCTTGCCGCGCAGCTGTCGAGGCTGCAGGTGGCGGGGGATAGAGCACAGCGCAGGGTGGAGGAGCGCAAGCGGGGGAGGCTCGAACGAGCGAACAATACCATCTTGTTCAAGCATTACAGACTAGATGCGGGTGATGGTCGGATAGGTCGTCAATTCTAGGCTGGCGAGTGCCGGGCTCTTCTTGTACAAATGCATCCATGTCACTCGGCTTGAGCAAACGAGGGCCTGCTCAGGGTATACATAGCAGATTAAGTTACTTTTTGTCCTTGCATCCTGGTACCGCCTCATCGTATGTATGTACATACTGGTTGGTCCAGATTTGGCCGCTGTCCGCGATGCCATTGGACGTTGGGCACACCGCTTCACAGAGAGTATTTGAGACGGGGCCATTCCTGAGTCGAGAAGATAACTAGTGACGCGAGTCCTCAACAACCACAACCTTGAACCCGCGACAAAGACAGCACCTGACATCCTGTCGGCCGAGACGCTAGTCCTGAGAGCGCGCGGTGGTCAGTTAAGGATCAGTGGTGAGACGACAGTAAATGCAATGATGCAGTTGCTCGAGTTTAACACGCCCTGGCCATACAATTCGCAAAAGGAATGGCCAGATTCGTCACATGAGCTCGACCCCAAGATTTGGAATGAATATACCATGGTGGCTCCTGCCGCAAGCCTTGGGTCGGCGGGCTTACAGCGCTGGACAAACACAAAATCCAAACAATTTCAGCACGGCACGGCACCTCTGTAACCAATATTAACAGAATTGGATGTCTTCATGCTTGTTTTCTTCAACTTCTCCCCTGAAGCGTCAAGTTTTCCCTAATCCCCCCCTACCCCTAGAGGCCCTAGTAACGTGACCAAGCCTACTCCTCCCCGTAACACCTGAGCAAATTCGTCTTCCTTGTCATCCATTTACTTCCTGAATCTAACGCATACCGCCGTGGCCAATCATTATCTGAACTCCCTGATATACTGGCACTGCATTGATATTTTGTATCTAGATATCACCCTAGGGCTGCTAATCGCAAAAATGCAGCCTCACCCGACTCACCGCTCATTGCGTAGTTCGAAATGTCCTCCTTCGTATCATCGTCTTCATCATCCTGTTGTAGAGCTTTGTCACCGGTCGTCATGGCGTCAGACGACTGGACAGGATTATTTTCCTTCATATTAGTGGTCTGCCTACCAACAGTCTCTTGAGTTTTCTGCCCATCAGAAACAACCCTCTGCTTCGTGTCTTTATTTGTGTCAACTTGAGACGGCGTCTCAGCCGCTGCAACACTGCTGGTCTCAGACTGACTTTGCAGGTGTGAATGGCGGTTAAACAGACAAGTCCGCCGAGCTGCGGCTAGAACGGATGCGCCTGGCTTGTACTTGTCACCCATGGCAAGCCGAATCATGACCCAGTGAAAAATCCACGGGAAACTAATAAAAGGCACATTAGGTCTTGGCTCTTCGCCTGAGTCGGTCTCGGCTTGATGACCGACTGGTTCATCGTCGCCACCATTGCGTGCCTTGTTGACCTGTTCCTCAGTAACTTTATACATGGCAGCAACAAACTTGTCCAGCTGAGGCGCTTCGCTGCCTCCGGCGATATTGCAGCACTGTTCTCTGAACCGCTGCTTCACAACGTCGAATTCGAGACCCAGGTCTTCCTGTCTCTTGTAGTTGCTCGATATGCTGGTATTTGACATGACCCAGCCAGTGTACAGTTCATACTCGGTTTCGACATGGTACTGAACCATCAGCCGTCGTATGGCAGAATCGTACTGCGCCTTGATTTCTCTGGCTGCGGTAAGAGTGCTCATGTCGAATTCATATCTCTCCAGGATTCTCTTGTCGAATGGGTGCTCCCACTCGGGACGAAATTGGAACGTGTGCTTCACCACTTCGTCATATAAGGCCCCCAAGGCTTTCCTCGACCGATATGTCGACTTTTTCTCCATAAAATGCGGCCACCGTTCTGGTTGCATCTTGTGACCAAATTCTGCTGGTTCCCCGGTTTTCGCATAGTCTACGGCTTGAGAGTGCAACTCTGCTAGCCTCAAGCCTTTAATACAGAAGATTAGCAAGTACTAGTAGCTCACCGAAGAATGCGGACGAAGCCACTTACATATTTGTGACTTTGGTCCATGCATGTCCGCAAATGCTAAATGTGCGACAGCAATCAGACCCAAATTGTCATTCTTCATGTAGTTGACGAAGAACTCGCGTAAATCATCAACAGTGACGTCCCGGTCTAGTTGTAGGGGATTTGGGGCTTGGTAGTCCATGGGCTTGTGATTCCATTCCTTTGGAATAAGTCTGTCATCCCAAATAATAAAAAAATCATCGCCATCAAGGTCACCCCCAGATAGCATGGCCGGAACCGGCCGATCTCCCTTTGATGGGAAGACGATGACATCTTTCAAGTGTCGAAGCTTGGGGTTATTCACGGCCTGAACAACTCGAATATCTCCTGGGTGAAGCGACGGATTTCGTCCCACTATGCATTTCCCTTGTATAGTGTTGGTTTTACCCTCATGACTTGGGTCCGTGAGCTGTAAGAAGATCTGAGGAAGTTTGTGTTCGTCGAGCTGATCGGAACTGCTTTCAGTCTCGATAGAATGACCTCGTAAGCTTCCACTTTCGTCCACACATCCGAGGACAAAAGCGCTCTTCGGCACATGTATTCTCGTCTTTTCTTTTAAAAGGCGGAATGACCAGGATAGCCAGAGATGAAAAATATTGAGAGTAAATGGCTCCCGGACGTTGTCTGTCATGAACCCAGCCTTCAAAAGTTCGGCAAGAACCAGCGAAGACTGGTTTTCATCCACAAACTTGGTGAGTAACTTGATGGCTTCCGAGGTATCTTTTGCTGCATTCTCATACCAGTTGATTTGTTCCTTTAAAAGCTCCATGAACATTTTCTTCGGCACCCCGAGACTTTCCAATATTGTGATTGTTTGACGATTTAGAGTCGCAGTCGAACGAGCTGCGCAGCGTACAATCTCCAAGCCCTGGAAATCGGATTCAAACTTTTTTTGAGAATTCCTGATGTGGACTTCCATACCCTGGGCCTGTGGCCAAACTGCAAGAACCCCTTTACAGCCTCCCATACGGAATTGAAATGCTGTCGGTTTATCAAATATATCCAAAGTCATTTCTTCTATTATGAGCTGGGAGAGAAACTTTGATATAAGTCCCACGCCATCGGTGAAGCATTGGTCATCACGCTGTATGTCGTCAATGTACTTGATATCAGGCTCCCATATGCCTTTAATATCCCGCGTCGTTGAAAAGCATTGGCCTATACGTGCTGCGTATTTGGCAACGCACTTGATGTGGTCAAATTGTCCCATCCATGCACGAATATCTTCGCAGGATAAATGGCCAGTGGGGCAGAAAAAGTATGCGCTGCTCTGTCTTAACTGCGAGCTCCCGAATGCCAGGAATTCGTATTGTCGATCCCCAATGCGAATACCTTGAGATAAAGCTCTCTCGACGCGTTTCCAGATCTTGTCATTCTTATATTTGGTCTTCCCAAGCCGAACCAACTCGGACTCCTCGACGAATTGCACGCGTAGAAATCGATCCTGCAAGTGGCTGTACTTCCGAACGACTCGGTTGGATGTCTCCACGGTTGGAGAGTTGAAGCGGATGGTAGTCGGTGTTATAGACGCTTTGCGAACATAGGTGCAATAGTGCGGAATTCTTGCGGCAGGAACAAAGGCTGTAGCATCTTCCATACTGAAAAGCTTCATGGGATCAAATAGTATTTCATTCTGGTCCACAAGGTATTCGAGGCGGTGGGTTGCATCCATGGTTTGGAGGTTGTTGAGCTCTTGCAAGAAATCAATGCCGATTGCATATTCATTTAAAACGCCCCGGGATATGCACACCTCGAGCTGGTAGCGGACCTCAAAAGGCAAGTGTATCTTTTGAGGCATACTGAGCAGAGCAGAAGGCTGACTGGCGGTTACGGCCAGTGGATGCTCAAGATAATCCCACAAACTAGGGGCGTCGGTCTTGGTGTCAAAGACACAGCCTGGACGGACCAAAACATTCAAGTCGTAGAAAGCGGCCTGGAGATGCAAATATGATGCCGAATTTTCTGCCTTTTCGGGGTCAAAAGATAGGCGGAACGTCGTCCATCGCCCGATATCGATATAGTCGTCAAACTGTGCTTCATTGTGGATAGAAATTGGATGCGCATCATTGCTAGCAGGAGAAATATCTGTAGCCCGTTGCCAAGTATCGCTCAGACTCCATTTTTGAGGATTTCCTTGGAACGTATCCATAATATTGTCTACTTTCTCAAAATATTCTGGAGGGTAGGGCAGAGATATGACCCAATGTCGTAGCTCGTTCTCGTTGTCGGCAGTAGACTCCAGGATTGTTTTAATATTGGAGATCTTAAATCTCACTTGACATTCCTTGGAACTTTTCCGATTATTGATGTGAGAAACGGTGGTGAACAATACGCTCATTATATTGCTTCTCACATTGAGTTCTAGAGGTATGCCTCCTGGTGAATTGACGGTTTTCATTACTCGCATCAAAGACGGGCTCAACATACTACCAAACCCAAGAGAGTTCAGCTTGAGTGTGATCTTGTCTGGGTATCTAGGACTTTTCAGTGTGTTAACCGGTGGCCGCTCGTCAAGAGACACCATGAGCCGGAGCCCATTTGGATACTGTCGAGTATCCGGATGGTCGACGCGGACGGGTCCTAGGTCCCAGATATTGAGCCGGGGGGGAGGCTCAAAACGAATCTTTGCAGACATGCTTCCATTGACAGACTTGGGGTCAAAGAGATCTATCCACAAAATGTTGCCTTCTGATGCAAACCATCTCCAAATATACTCTGCGGAGATGTCGACGGGCAGATTGTTGACTCTGATGATTACATACGGTCTTGTGCACCATTCATGTTGGGAGTCCGAGGATGGAATCGAGGTAGTCCTCAGTTCTTGTATGCGACCTCCACTGCCTCTTCCGTGAGAAAGAGGATTCTGTTGCCGAGGTTCTGGCATTATTCGTTGCGGAGGCATGTTTAGAATGAGCGATCCGAGTCCCGATGCTTAAACGTGAACCAGTTGCTGAACTTATAAATAGAACAGATTTCGTGGAATTAGAGTGTGAATTCTGATGCGTGGCAATGTGCCCGAGCTATTTGCTCTGGAAACCTAGGAGTCTTGGGTCGTTGAGATTGAAGAAACCTGCAGCTCGGTCAGTATGGCTTTTGCGAATTCGGCTAGTGTGCAGGAAGAACCGAATTGTGCCTGGCACCTTGGCATAATGCGCAAAGAATAGTTAGGGATCGTTCGGCCGCGTGATAATGGGAAGGCGCGATCTGCACCTCGGGTTGGTGTTTTTTCTGGAAGGAGATGTGGAGGTGCTCAAGCGAGGTTTGTTACTGCGACTCGTCGGGGTTTTAAACAGACCAGCGCAGAAACTTGGTTGCCAGAGCCGCTTCTCCTTCTAGTGAGGAGTAAAGGTGGCAAAGTTAATGAGACGGGGAGAGAAGGCAAACGCATATTGTGCGTCGGACAGGCAGATGGTCCATGTGCAGCTGCGTGACTCACTTTTCGCTCACCTCGGCCGTGGAACTCCAGTATTTAACGAGCAGTAAGACACTCAGCATAAAAAGAATTCACAGACTTATTGAAATTTGTTTGATTAGTTATTAACCAGATATCAATATGACCTACCGCACTGGTGGTGTACATCCCGTTGTGCAATACCATCTCCCGTTCTTAAAAGTACTCAGGTGGGACTCCAATACTAGGACATATGGCATGCTGAGGAGTACTTTGTCCAGTATAGAAGCTGTTTATGAACTACAACTGTTAGCACTTATGGTAGGTGGCTATAGTATACTGGCCCTTTCAACAATTGCGCCATGGCACTAGATATGCGCCTTTGTTGCAAACCCTTGAGCAACCTTTGCTCTCATCTACATTGTCCAGAAAAGAAGTACATCGCACGTGTATTGTGGCAGTTTGAATATTTTGGTAAATCGGCACATGATAATAAGGCAGGCTCAGGATTCAAACCGGGCGCCGTCTGAAGTCTATGTTATGGCTACTCCTGAGCCGTGGGAGACACAAGAGGAGTAGTTCCGTACGCTATGGGCGGCCTAGCAACGCTAACCCATGGGGTCTGATGGCATATAATCGTCAAACACTGCGTCTTGCATAATCGTCTGGAGGAGTAGTCTTATTCACCTTGTGAATGGCACGCTTGCCCGAATCCCTTTTTTTGAGACTCGCTTCTCCGTACACATTGAATAGGGGCAATCAACGTTGCGTTGGTCAGTAAATGTGGAGAATTTCCTTGTAAGCCGCTACAGCAATCTTTGCCAGCCATCATGTGCATCATGTCGCGTGGTGCAAACGGTTGCATTCCACGCTCTTTGATGATGCAGGCATTGACTGGGGAAACACACGATGTCTGGTACGTACACATGCCCTGCGTCTGCCCAGAATGTGTGAGGGGGGGCCGTAACAGGACTAGCGCAGAACGGCACAGGGGAAATGACGTTGCCGACGGCATCAGTCCCGCCAGTCCCAGTCCGAAAAATTTCACGTCAAAGAGAAAGCAGGAGCAGCTTATCAAGGGAAACCCGCTAGAAGAGGAAAGGCCAGCGCACGGCACGCAGCACACAACTTTCACGAACCTTGCTAAGTGTCCTGTACCGGAGCATGTACCCGGTACTGCACTGCTGCACCCTTTCACACGCTTGAAATGGGTCATTTCACTTCAAAGAATACCTACCGGTACTGACACTCCATGCCACGCGACACGAACGGAACTCCGAAAAAAAAGAGAGAAGGCGCAACCCTGTAGGTAACGAGCCGCCCTCCCTCGTCAAGTCCGTCAACTCTCGACGATCCCCGAGTTTCCCTTTCCCCCCTCTCAACACCAGCATCCCTTTCTGTTTCCGGTCTGCGTGTCTAGAGTTCATAGTTCTTCGAGCGCGGCTCTGATCAAAGGGCTGAGTGCCTCTGGCTTTGGCTGACTGCTGACCTGACTCTTCCCTTTCCTTCTTTAGCCTCTGCTTCTTGGTTGAGCCTGCGATTGTCTGAACCAAGTCGACATCTGGACGTCCCACACCCCTTTTGACTTGACACCACTTGTTACGATCAACCCGCGACCACACACATACATAATATCTTGCGGCACGCCGGTTAGTTCTCTGTCAACTATCAGTCTCGCACGCGCACGCGCACGCTCTCTGACAATTGTGTTTTCGGCAGTTGCCCTCGCACATCGCCCAAGATGGTCTACCTTCGACACAACCAGCTCCCGGCGCTCAAGGAGTACAAGTACTCTTCGGTTGATCGGTCGCTCACGTCCAAGTACATCCTCAAGCCGTTCTACAATAATTTCGTCATCAAGCTGTTTCCCATGAGCATGGCCCCCAATTTAATCACTCTGACTGGATTTGTGTTTGTGGTAATCAACGTCTTGACGCTCCTGTGGTATAATCCTACCCTCGACCAGGACTGTCCCGCTTGGGTGTATTTCAGCTGGGCTCTGGGTCTCTTCCTGTACCAGACTTTTGATGCCGTCGACGGTGCTCAGGCGTGAGTCCATACCCTGTGGTTCCCGGATAACCTGCTCCTTGTCGCATCTCAGCGTCAAAATCAGCCAAAACTGAAGAGGAGTTCGAGCCGATGGTGGACATTGACAACTAACGCGACCCGTAGACGCCGAACCAAGCAATCCGGTCCCCTCGGCGAGTTATTTGACCATGGTGTTGACGCTCTCAATACTAGTCTTGAGGTTCTCATTTTCGCTGCTTCTCAGAACATGGGCCAAGGCTGGAAGACGGTTGCGACTCTCTTTGCTTGTACGTCCGCTCTCGCTCTTCCGTTGTTGATGCGCAGAGCTGGAAATGCCGATTGCTAACGTTTATTTTTGAATTGCAGCCCTCCTTACTTTTTACGTTCAGACCTGGGACGAGTACCACACCAAGACACTCACACTCGGCATTGTCAACGGTCCAGTTGAAGGTGTCTTGATTCTGGTCGCCGTTTACACCCTGACCGGTTTGCTCGGCGGAGCCCACATCTGGCAGCAGAGCATGCTCAAAGCCATTGGTATTCCCGAGACCTTGGGAACTCCCACGTTCATCTACGAGCTCTCCTTCACCGAGTGGTACCTAGTCCAAGGCGCCATCGTGCTAGTCCTCAATACCGTCGAGTCTTCCTTCAACGTCATCCGAGCGCGACACGAACGTGGTGACCGCTCCCGCGGGGCTCTTGTCGGCCTGTTACCTTTCTTCGGCGTTTGGACTCTGATAGTCACCTATCTGCACCTGCAGCCCAACATTTTGCACCACCACCTCGTCCCCTTTGTACTTTTTGCCGGTATTGTCAATGCCTACAGTGTTGGGCGGATGATCACAGCCCACCTCGTCAAGCTTCCCTTCCCTTACTGGAATGTCCTCAGCATCCCCCTAGCATGCGGTGTTATCGACTCTCTTGGTCCTGTTCTCGTCAAGCGATTCGGCATTGGTTGGCCTAGCGCCCTTGGACACGACGAATACCAGGTTTCTTTCGTTTTTCTCATCCTTGGTATTGCTTTTGGTGTCTATGGCAGCTTCGTCGTCGATGTTATCGTGTCCATCTGTGACTATCTCGACATTTGGTGCTTGACTATTAAGCACCCCTATGACGAGTTCGGCCCCAAGGCCAGCGGCGAGAAGATTCACTAAGGTGCCACTGTACTGAGATCAACTCTCCCAACCAACTTGGAAACCAAAAACTGGTGAGCGCTGTCATCAAGATGTGAAACGGTTGCGAAGAAATGCCTTTTTAATACGACAAAAAGACGAAAGAGCGGACAGATTTAGGGAGAGGCTACATGATGGTTTAGGACGCGTAAGAACGAAGGTCACGAGCACGAAAATATAAGCGACTGGGAAAACGTGCGGGGTTTACTACGCCAAGGAATTCGATAGTACGTCTCGTGCCGTCAGTACCGTTTTGTGAGATGGACATGGAAACTATGGCCTTGCCGTGGAAACGGAAAAAGAAGGAGGAGACCATGTGTTGCAATTTAGGGAACAGACATGTTATAGGAGTTAGGAGGCACGGAGTCCTTAGTTGTATTAGTTGCTTTTAGCTTTACATTGCGTGAATTCTCTGCATTGTATAATATTAATCCATATGATCCCGCTTAGGTTGGCCTTTCCGCTTTGTATTGCTAGTGCTCCGTACAAATCTGCAGACATATTCGTTAATAGCGGTATACAGTTTGCATGGTAGACAGGGATTGCAGCGGCGCATGGCCACTTGAGTCCTGAGACGATCAAAATTGCTGATACTGGATAGGGAGATAAGTCCGAAGAGCTAAACACTCTAGGAATCGCGACGTCATGCTGGCGCGATGCTAAGTTGAAGTGAAGACAAGTAGCGTACATTGCCCAAACATCCAACGGGGTCAAGCTGACATGTCGGTCATTTTTTGCATTTTGCGTCGTCCAGGCAAAAAGCATAGAGCAGGGTACTCCTTCGATCGGAGCCCAGCTTGGTGTGTTTGATCTTCTATTTCCAACAGTCGCCTGACTGCTCGTGCTATCTCTCCATCTTCGCCGACTCGTGGCGGAGAGCAACCGCAGCCTGATCAGCGCTTTACCGTGCATGGCGTACACCGTGAACCCTGTCGAATCCCTTGTACAATGTCTGCGAGCCGGCTTTCCTACGCGCGCAGCGAGTTGTTTCTCCGTATGGTCATAACTTTCTGCTGCCCCGAGTAGTAGCGCTCGCGGTCAGCAATGCACTGCATTACCATTCCGTCGTCAGGGGTACCTCTCAGGCACGGTTTAGAGTTTCGAGTTTCTAAGTACCTGTAGACTTGGCGTATAAGGCGTTCTAAGACGTCCCAGCGTTGGCATCAGGTAAGAGTCGTGGGATCTGAACGTCAACGGGGTCCCCAGTATTGGAATCGAATGCTACATGGTCGGTGCTCGGCCGCCGCTGGGCTCATATTATACGGCGAGTCAATAAACTCGACGTTGCCGTGAGATCTCAAGGCCAGGAATATGCCACCACTATTCATCATGGCGCAGGACGCAGGCGGCTTTCCCCTGCCTCTAGCCAAGACACCTAATCTCTCTTGTGATGCGGGTAGACGGCTACATCGCCATGGGGAGTCCCTAGGTTTCTAGTGCCGTGACTTAGCGGCCGGGCTAGTCTAGAGTCAACGGTCCTAGTTTTATTTAGTGAAAATGATTCCGTCTTGCCAAGATCCGAGCGAGTCATCACTTGAGCATGACTAAGAAGACTTCGTTTCGAAAACAAGGCTAAATGAAGACTGGCACGTCAAGGACAAGGACGTGTTGCAATGGCTGTAGTTACGACATAGGACGAGTTGAGTGGACGAGACTCAAATATCCCGGGAAAAGAATGGACTACAAAAGTACAGTCTTTATTTAAATATCGCTGTGATTATGTGTAGTGCACGGAAAAATTGAGTCAATTGAAGCTGAATAACAAAACGACGCCATTAATAAAATCAACAAAACTTTGCCCGCAGCTCAATCCTCCCCCTACGTCGGTCCAAATTTTCCACTCAAAAAAGAGACAATTATCCCGATCATAGCATACAGTCCAGGGAGTTCATTTGCTGGTATAATGACACTGAACCTGGCGGTACATCAAGGCTCCCGTCAAGCCCCTGTCCAGAAGTCAACGCACAACAGAGCTGCTGATATGGTGCCGGTTACCAATGACTGGAAAACAACAAACAATGGCCGGAGGCCATGTTTTATAGATGAGATCGGAAAGTGAATGCTGTGTTTACCAAGCTTGCGCCATCCATGATATCAAAAGCAGCCCAAAAGGTGGCAGCGTACCGCGCCGCATGCGCCGCCAAATACTGTTGGGTAGGGAAAAGTATGTATCATGTGTAGCCCCCCGGGCCCCAACCCAAAAGTGAAAGCCAGTCCGACGCCTTTTGTACCCAAAATGCCCCCTTAACCAAAACACCATGTTTTGAAGCCTTACGGCTCAGATATTATTTGACTTGCATCGCATCATGATAGACATGGCCCTTCATCGGACCAGTCCCAGAGGCAAGGCGTTGCATATGACGTCTTCAGCCCAAACCGGTTGAGCGACTATAAAAGGTCATCGGAGCCACTTGCCACGCTTTGTTCCATAGCATAGACAATCGAGCGCTCCGAAAAGACAGGGCCTTGTCCGTCGCATAAGGCACACGATTTCAATCTTTCACTGACATCACCAACATCGACCAGACCTCGTTTGTAGAGGTCATGATCGATGATAAAGTCCCAAGCTGCACCAGCAGCGAGCAAACGCTCCCCATCGTCAGAAGTGACAATACGGTGTGAGGGGGACTTGTTCTTGTGGTTTTGAAGAACGTTGGAGTAAAAGTCAGTAGGATTATACCTCATGGGGCCGGTTGTTGTTGGTTCGGGTGAGTGCGAAATATGATGTCCGTTGGTCACTGAAGACGTGGCTCTCAAGATCTCGTTTTCTGTTGAAACTTTTTGTAAATCCCGCTTGAGTCTCTCATTCTCGACCGACGCCTGCTGCTGCGCCGCTTCCATGTGTGCAAGTTTTGCTTCCAGATCCTTGACATGCTTCTCTTTCCGTTCACGGAACGCACGTTGTCTATCCATGGCCATGTTAAACATATTTGCTTCGGGTACGTGTATGAAAAATACGGCATTGAGCACTCACGCTGCACGGTTCTGCGCTTTGCGTCGCGATTGGGCAGGTGTCAGGGAATCATCGTCGTCACTGCCCCCTCGAGTATGACTGTTGTCATCAGCGCCATCGGACCTGGCTCCCGACAAGGTGCTGTTGAGGGGGCCATTCGAGCTAGCAGCTTGATGAAGCTGTGAGATTGATTGCTGGCTTGTATATGTCGCAGGATTCGGAGGAGTTGGTGGACCAGGAAAGCCTGGAGTCTGGTGTTGAGAAGGGTTATGGAAGCCTTGGTTGTATTCGAAGCCTTGAAACTGGTCGGTATTGGGAATACCGTCGAAACCATCCTGCATTACACGAATAACTGTTAGTGACGAAAGAATATTTGGGGTAATGGTACAATGATTTTGCATGCGGTGCAACTTTTTCAAGGAGGTGAGGGCAGGTGCACGCCGTGGTGGAAAGGAACTCGGTACAAAGCCGTCGGGTGCAAGTCCATCTGGAGTTGAGCCATGGTGGGGTGGGATGAAGAACAGGGAGAGAGCCAAGCGCGAGCATGGCATGACTTTTTGCAGACACGGGGAATCATGAGAAGGGTACTGACTGCAGGAGAAGCGGTGTTGTAATCGTCGGAGCCCGCAGAGTGAGAGTTGGACGGCGTCAGTGGGGGAACGCTCATGAAGGACTGGTAGGGCTGGCCAGCCGTGAAGGGGAACGGTTGCGACGAGAAGTCCATGGCGGTTCTGTGGCTCTGTGGCTCTGACTCTGTGACGGTTGACCCGTTGACGCTGTGCTGGCAGAACGAGACTGACGGGAACTGAGAGGGCGAGGGAATGCAGGAGAGGCGAGTTGGCGATGTAGGCGATGGAGATTGCGACTGGGAAGAAGCGAGATATAAGGACGAGATGGAGAGCGCAGGAAAGCGCAGGAAAGCGGCCAAAAAGTCGAAGCAGGGCCTTTGGGCATGAGACGACGACGCAACGGGCGATGGTGGGCTGAAAGTCGACTGGTCCCCAGTTAATGCGTGCCGGAGGTGAAATGGTGGCGTTAACCCGCTGGGCATGGGGACATGGACCTGATGGGCGCGAGCCTGCGGGAAGGCACGATGGGCGATGGCGGGCGTGCCGGACTTCCAGGAGTTGATGCTCTCAATGCTCCCGACATCAAGACGAGACGAGACGAGACAGGGCTTGAAGGCACATGGCCGATGCCGAAGGCCGAAGGCGCATGTCACGGCTCATGGCTCATGGCAGATGCAGCACGGCGATTCAAGTTGGAACAGAACCATCAGCGTCAGTACCATCAGGATCCATCCTCGGTACGCTTGGGCCGTTAGCCTTGTAGGCCCGGTTCCATGGCTTCTGGAACTAACCAGACACAAGTAGACGGGGCCGGGCCTAGAGAACATACGGGCAACATGGTCCTGGTTAGTTCGTGAGTCGTCAGCCTCTAGCTGCAAGAGTACACGCACATAGCATAGCCTTGTTATTTGACGTATGGATCCAGACAATTGATTGACAGCTCGACACCATTTAAACCTCATGGACTTGGCGAAGCAGACACGGAACTGCAGGAGGTGCCGCGTTGTGCTTGGGGTGGCGCCGACGGTTGTTCAATGTTGAGATGTTGCGACCAGACTGCAGAATCATGATTGATTCGTTAATTACAGCAGCCAACTGCCTGCCAACCAACCGCTCCAGTCGCCACATGCATCTTCTCCCAGCGCGGAAGGACCGACGATCAACGCACCTGCCAACAGTCTTCTCCAGCCGCAAATGTTATAGTGATACCCCGCCAAGCATCACACTTGGCAATCTCCATCGGCATCTCTAAATTCGAGCCTTTGACCACACAAGCATACCGGACTTCTCATCATTAACTCCGCTGGCTCATCGCCGCATAAATAAACCCTCCACTCATAATTCAAACCCCCGTACCAGGCCTTGTTTTCCCACAGGACACCACGCCGGCCGTCGCATTCTTCGTTTCACAAATTCTGCATCTAGAGTTCACATCAGGAGCCCAGCCAACTCCTGCTCCCACTCGCTGCTCTTCCAAGCCACCAACCACAATGAGCCAGGCCCTCCAATCTCCTCGACCATACCGCCTATCCATGCCGACAACCACGAACCACACAACTACAGAGTGTTCCGCAACCAACAGGCTTTTGCACAGAAGTTCTCAGCTCGAATGTCATTAGTCCCGGTGGATCCTCTGCCACAATCCTGCCAGCACGTCACTCCATGCCCCTTGAGCAAATGACTGCCTGCCAACAGCCTGCGTCGCCAAACCGAGACCAAGTACTCATAGTCACTCCACCCGAGACAATGCTGGCCATTGTGCATCTACTATACTGCACCTTGAAAAGCTATTGACTGCCCATTTTGATTGTTCTGGCAGAAATGAAAATGGCGATCACTGATTATATGGGAAACAATGCAGTTGCGGCTCCTATGGTGATCTGGTACCGAGGGCTACATCACTCAGAACACATCATGGACCAGCGCAACGAAGGGAATACTTGCCGAAGCCGAATCAGTAATACAATGCACACTCTTGGGAGAAGATGGTGGCGAGGGCCCTGCTGCCAAGCTCCCAAACCATCTCCTCAGATGACTGACAGCGTCAATAGTCGCTCAAATCTTGTACGACACTGAGTATGACAATCCGTCTTGTGTTCCACTCCATAACCCAAGACTAAGGCTCCCTCGTAACCTCCAGGACCATACTAGCGGCGATGCATCCAAGTCCTGCAAGTTGCCCAATGTTGCATTTGCCAGCCAACAGTACTGAATAGCACGTATGCCCGGTGCTAGATACTAGCAAGACTCGCGCATTACGACTACCTAGTTTCGATGTTCGGCACGCTTTGTTTCCGGTCTACCCGAACATAATAGGTGCAAACTGAACTCTGAATACTTTGGGGTTGGGATTGTGGTTGGCTGGTTGGTTGAACTTGGTTGGTTGGTTTCGTCTTACCTGCGGGATGGCAACCTCACAGCGCCACTCAACTCACTCATCGACGACCGATGCGACTTCCGGCAGGCTCGAAACACAATGCAGGCTACCCATGCTGTTCCTAGTCCATATTTGACGTAGATCGTGCAATGCATATCGATCCTGTCTCAGTCGCTAGCTTGTCTAGAACGCACACCCTAGCCCAGAGCCTGTCAGCTGTCAACTGTCAAAGCCAAGGACTCTTTTTTCGAGTCGGCCTTGTCTCTATCAGAGATTGAGGACCTCGGGCATGTCCTGTCGATCGCTCTCTTGTCCGAAGCATGTACATACATATGAACAACGGGATCGAGGAACCATGCAGCTCCACCCTCAAAGGCCTTGTTCAGAAGTGGAATCAAACCCGAGGCTTGTCTCACCACACTAACTTCATATGTTGGCTTGTAGTCAACGCCTGGAAGTAGTTGATTCCGTTGCCATTGCGGAATGATCTGCCTTGCCATGTCCATCTATTACCTTCTCTATCCGCCCGCCTGTTTGTCAGGCGCCAAACACAAAGGGACCAGCGGAAATGGGCTTGTAGGACGCAATCTTCCGTGCCTTGCCCTCAACGCCCACATGGCTTCCGGATTACTACCTTTGACACCGAAATCTCTTGGCCATCTTTGTGGCTCGACAAGCCCATTGATGCCCTGTGCCAGCACCTCGATGTCTGCCACCTATGGCACAGGCTTGTCAGAGATCGATCTCTCGCTCCTCCTATTCAATCTCTTGTCCCAAATTCGTTAGTCAACACATGGGTTTGTGGACACCACAATATAGAGTCTCAAGTGGCAATATTATGAGCTAGGGACTTGATTGTTATTTCTTTTCATTTGTTTCCATGCCGTTCCTTGTCCAAAGAGTCATTTGATGCCTCGTACCTTTTAACCAAGCCGTGAATGGCCATGGCACATTCATGATCCGTGACATCCTTGTCTATTTACACGTGTCTTACTTCCAACTCGCTGTCATTGCGCCTCTTACGGCATCGATCTCTCGGTGGAAGTACGAGGATAATAGCTAGCCAAGTGCATGCTAGTCAAGTTCGGATACCAAGCGGCGACAGGGTCAAGACCAGTGCCGCCATCACCGTGGGGAGGAACACCGGCATTTTGGAAAATGTACACGTACTCCTCGATACCAGGGCTGCTAGAATAAACGCCCCTCTTGACGATTCGGGCCTCTAGCACATCAGGCACCCAGAGCCTTGCCTTGAGGCGACGACATGTCCCTCAGAAACATTGCGGTACTCTTCAGGGCCCTCAGCACGAAGAAGAGCCTACCCTCGGCAACGAACCCCCTTCCTGGGTTCCGGTAACAGGCATTCTTCTGAGGCGCAGGCGGTTCTAATCAACGCGATCTGAGCAAGTGGCGAGGCCCCGGAAGGTGTAGAGAAGCACCGTCTCCAGCATCCCACGCACATCCAAGATAAGTCCTCTTCGATTTCCATTTCCAACCCGAGACCAGCAAGCTAAAATTGAAGAGAGAAGAAAAATATGTCAGATAATACTATGAGGAATACATTCCCCCATCAACAGGAAATGGTAGCAATAGACCCGGGGGTAGACAAACCTCAGCCATATGTCCAAGGGTGTTGGAATTCCTCAGCACGAAAGACGGGTTCAGTACTCCGTACAGTAGACGCGCTTTCTTCCACCGGTAATCCCAACATTGAAGATGCTTGTAGAACTGAGGAGACTGCAAGATTGGCCCGCTTCTTGAAATAATTCATTCCAAAGACATTAGAGCCGCCCTCAGAGGCAGACCACGAACCCCATACCAAGAACCTCAACACCAGGCGCAAAGCAGCACTTGGAGATGCGCGGCTCGTAGTTGGAAACGCACACTCTCACCAGCTCAACAAGGGGCTTCTCGATGGTTTCCCCCCACCAGGACAAAACCCTCGAGCGTCAGACCTCCGATCCATCTCACTATTTGCTTGGGAAAAGGCTTCCCACTCAGGGATAGCGGTCACAACGCCCTGGATAGCCCGGTTTCTCTCCTCGCGCAGCTCGACAAGCGCCATCGCTTGCACACTGCGTTCTCGCATTCTAAACCCGTCCCCTGGGCTTGATGGTCCTGTCAATGTGCTCCCACGGTCTTCAGATTGACCCTCTCAGCGCCCACCTAGTTGTCCGCAGCGCAACAGCGCTATAGTTGTCCGTTGCCAAGTAAATCGGCATTATCCAGCCACGGCCTTGGCAGTAGCCTGTTTGGCATGGTGCTCACTGCTCTGGCGCCATGAGCCTTTTCAGCCTCAACTTCCTTCTTGGCTTCTGCTTAGGCCTTTTTGAAGGGCCTTCTTGGAGGATACGTCTTCCCCTTCGCCCGTTTAGCCGTCGACACCGGCGGCATCGGGTTGCCATTTGAAAGCACGCCGTTAGCCATGGCTGTTTTTCGCAGATACGCGGGAGGTTGCTTCCATCTACCAGAACCAAGAAACAAGACGTCCAAGGACTTTAGTCCATACAGGATGGAATGGGCACACGCGTGCGGTCAAGATAGTTGCCGCAGCTTGGGGTGAGCCGCATCACTGGCAGTCGTGATTCCGTCCGTATCCGACGCTTCGAAAAAGAGAGCCCCCCTCCTTGGCGGGACATCCCGCCAGGTGCCCACCCCGCCATGCCGGCAGTCCGGCAACGTGGACTTGCTGGAGAAAACCACTGGATGAGTCCCGCTAGCCTCTTTGGTCAGCTCCACATTGGCCTTCTATGGACTTCAACATTGGACGAACCATGA